TCTTTGCTCTTTCGACAACAGAGGCCAGGCTGGATTACATTTACTCTCATAAAGATACAGCCAGTTTTCCTCCGTTCACTCGGAGCTTAAGTGTTGTCCCTTTATTGGGCTAGAATCTCGTTAAACACACTTAAATTCACAAAGCAGAAATGTAGAGGCAGTATAAGTGACGTTGCCCTTATTAAATCAGCCCCTCTAAAGCCAAACCAGGCTACATGTGCAACATAGAGTTTTTGATGATCAATATCAATGATCACCTTGCTCTTAAATATAGATATCATCTTCTTAAATGTAATTATTTGAGGCTTTTTAAAGATCAAAATATAATTATAAATTGAATATTTGGATGCATTTCTGTCTGCAGGTAAAACAAAATGTAACCTTGGGCTTTGGGAAATTGTGTAGTGCAGTTTTTTTAGACAAGGCTATTATCAACCAAATAATGGGCCCATTATAAAGCCCTAATGTTTACTTAGAATGACAGGGTAGCAGTTTCACTCTTTACTTTCCTTATATAGACATGGCTGTATTGTCAGAACAAATCAGATCAATCATCTTTTTCTTTCTCCGCTCTATTGAATACATTCATCTTTTAAACAAGTCACAACAAATCTGAGGGTGTCCTCAGATGTTCAACAGGATTCAAAAGACAAACCGTTTTTTTTCTTTCCTTTTTATTATAGAAATCTGTGCATCTAAAAATTCAAATAAAACCAAGGAAAGAAAATAACCCTATTAAAAGATGCAACATTTCCTTATTTTAAGTTTGTCATAAATGTATTGGACCTGTTTTCTCTGCTAGGAGTGGCGGAGCAGTTTGCCATCGCAGAGGCTAAGCTGCGTGCCTGGGCGTCTATAGATGACGATGAGGAAGACTCCAATGATGAAGACTCCCACACCAACGGACAGAGTCAAACCTCCTCCAACGAGAGCTCAGGTATCCACAGTCTCCCCCAATCTTGTTCATTTCATCATCTCCATCTTCATTTCTGCATCATCTAACAAATCGCCTTCATCTTCCCATCCCCCTCTCCCACTTGTCCATCCATCTCCAGGTGTTCTGACTCTTTGCTCCTCCCTCAGACGGCGCCGCGTCCCGTCCAATCAGCGCTGCGCCGAGCCAGCCTGAGGGCGAGGGTGTTGAGGCTCCGCCCCCCGACTGCCCCCTGTGCTCCCGCACTGCGTCCCACACTGACCCTCAATCCTCCCAGACCAACTCTCCCACTCTACCCAGCGACTGCCTGAGCCCCTTCCTGGATGAGGAGGAGGAGGAGGAGGATGAGGAGGAGGAGAGGGTGGAGGGTCAGGAGGAGCCCGCTGTTTCCCAGGAGCAATGCAACGAGGTCTGCATCCACAACAAGCCTGAATGGAGACCCCGGGCCCGGAGCAGCAGGTTTGACTCCTGCTACTCCACCTCTCACTCTGAGTCTCCTGGAGAGGAGGACGAGGAGGACGAGGAGGAGGAAGGCAGCGTGTTTCACGAGTTTCGAGCGTGGCAATCCAGCCGGAGAAGCTTCTTCTCCGACCGCGCCTCATCCGGAGTGGCGTCCTTCGACGAAGAGGAGGAAAGGGAGGAAGTCGAGGAGAAGAAAGAGTAACTGATGTGATGTGTTGTCCATCTTTATGTCTCTTTGAGTCTGTGTTGATTCTGGATATGATGAGAAAATCGATTCTGCTTTCACTGTAAACCTCTCTCGTCCTCCTCTTCCCCTCCTCCTCTTCCTCTGATCATCTCCTCTCCACTCGCTGCCTTCTGTCTCTCATCCTCAAAGCTTTTCATGTTCTGGTCTCGCTCCGCCGTTTATCGCTGCCGTGAAACAGTATATATATTTATTGGAGAGTTCAACCACAATGTAAAGCTGTTGTTCAATCTGAGTTTTGTACATCTGTTTGTGGAGAGTCATGTGTTGCATTGGTTTTCTATGGATATTTTGTAGTGTTGTTTTCTCTGGGTCATGCTGTGTCATGTGGGGTCGGGCTATGTTTGATACTGAATGTCTGAATGTCATGAATATATAAATAAATGATTTTTCTAAAAATGCAGATTGTCTTTTTTTCCTTCACTAAACTGAACGTACAACAAATTAAAACAACTTCTGAAGGTGTTTTGTTTTTTATTTAGTCATTCACTCATGTACAAAAACAATTTCATGTCCTCTGAAAAATAACAATGGCTGTTGGATTTCAAATGCATAATTCTCCTATGTACAATATCATGTACGTAGATCTCATCCATGTATTTCCATATGTACAGAGCATATACAGGCCAGTGTGCCATATAAAGGGAGATACTACAGACTTATTGCTTAACTATATACGCTGCAAATTAGCTTATACACTCTCTACATTTAACTCCTTATACGTTATCCTATATGGCGAGCTCTACGTCACATTCTATATGCAAACGAAAAGTTAAGACGTTTATAAATCGTTGAACCAATGTTTACACTGAAAAACAATGAGTTAATGTGCTGCGATGATATCAAAGGATTGAAATATGGCTTCAAAATTGTTGCATGAAAATAAAATACATTCATTCATTTTAGGGTCTTAACAAGGACTCAAACACTCTTTGCTCTTTCGACAACAGAGGCCAGGCTGGATTACATTTACTCTCATAAAGATACAGCCAGTTTTCCTCGGTTCACTCGGAGCTTAAGTGTTGTCCCTTTATCGGGCTAGAATCTCGTTAAACACACAATTAAATTCACAAAGCAGAAATGTAGAGGCAGTATAAGTGACGGACAGTCGACGTTGCCCTTATTAAATCAGCCCCTCTAAAGCCAAACCGGGCTAAATGTGAAGTAAAGTATACTCATGCTAAATACAATGTGCTTCACCACTTTGGAGCCCTGTTACTAAGCTTGGTGGACGTTTGGAAGCAGTGGCGGTTCTAGACCAATTTTACTGGGGGGGCTGGGGCCAGTTATTTCATGAGAGGGGCTCAATAAAAGCGGGTTAAATAGACAAAGACAGTATAAAATAAACATAAAATACAGTAATTGATATTTGTTTTTGTAAGATTATTTGTTTTAGTAAATTTAAGTTACAGTCGTTTTTTTCATTTAGAGTATTTGTTTTAGTAACTTTAAGTGACAATTAAATTAAAACACATAAACAGTATTCGCTTTTATATAAGGTAATGAACAGTTTAATCTCCACTGTACATCCGGGTCTCTGATTGGACTTAGTTCCAATAAAACGTAATATTGTAACCTTTTTTTTGGAGGGGGGCCACAGGGGGGTCCCTGGTCAGTGTTACGGGGGCACTGGCCCCTGTTGCCCCGCCTCCTAGAACCGCCCCTGTTTGGAAGCTGCCTTTGAACGGTAGATCTCTGCTGATTTGGGGATTTTCGAGGTGACATGGAAACCATTATTTGTTCGTAAATTATGTGTGGTAATTAAACAATGGAGTCCTGACAAACTAATGATGACACTGTTGCTATTAAACCCTCTTTTACTGCATTATTACTGTATATTTATTGCATATCATCCAATACCTTTATGTATAAATATTATCAGCCACTTTCTAGTTTATTGGTCCACTGATAGTGAATAGGTAGTAGTTTCAATTCATACCATCGTGTGCTCATTTGTTCTTCTGTGCTTTCTTGTCTATTATTGTTCCCCCTCCATTACTGGTGCGTGACTTTTATTCTCTAAGTAATGTAGTTGAAGACATGATAACAGGATTTTATTTTTGGCATGAAGACTCAAAATATGTTTAAGAGTCCAAGATCTGAGCATGGAAAGGAAAGTGTCAAAATGTCTCACGCACACACACACACATACACACACACAAAACATACAGCTTGCAATATTCTACATTTTTCTCATTGTCAATAAACCCCATGAAAAGATAAAACTAGTGTATTTGTAGACCACCATAAAACAGAGCTAAAATTAATGCCCAACGAATGCAAAACCTGGTGCTTACATTACCCACTTATTCTAGCAGAGGCTAACCTGTTTAGACCTGAGCCTGTTTTTCAGGTCTCAGGCTCGAAAATGACATTCCCAGAACAAATGACCATATCTTCCCTTCTAAAAGGGTTAAATTAATAATCTTTGTTCTCAAAGTAATGATAAACCTGTGAGTTGGATGTAGAAAAGTCAGAATCAATTTTTTATTTTAAAGAAAATTCAGATTGAACATAGTAAAAAAACTGTAAATTATAGTGTCCGTCCAAAAATTCTTTTTTACTTAGTGAAAACTACCCTTGAATGATGGTAAGGTAGACTAAAAGCTTTAGGAATCCAAAGTACAACATATAATAAGTACCCTGTATCAAGATTGATGCAAAAACAAGTGACATTTGACCTTTTTAGAGAGGTTTAGCAAAAAGAACTCCACCTCTGAGGTCGATTTTGGTGATTGACATCTCTTTCTGACCGGTAGAGCCAATAGAATCGAAGGGGAATTTCCCCACTCACACACATGGTACAAAAAAAAGGTGGGGGCTTCGCGCATGCAGTTTTGCATCAGAGCGAACCTATACTCTAGCTCTGACATCTGGAAACGGAAAAGCAGGTTTATTGCTTATGGATTATCAGAAATCATTTCAAAGGGACACAAACACATTGGATTAACCTATGGATTAATTTCAGCAGCGTTTTTATCATTTTAATGCCATTGAAGACCACTTTTGACCAGACTACGACACAGGTAAACCATGTTAGCGTTTTTAGCTACCTAGCGCCACATGTTTTGATGTCTGTTTTTGTTTATAAAGTCGCGAGTTCGTATCATTGAGTGATAATGTATGTACCCATCGATTCTGTGTCATCTCACGATGTGAAACGATGTGTTGGATGTGCAGAAAAGATAAATAATAAGGTTTTATGAGTGAATTTTGGTGCAGTAATCTGTTAGCATTTTTAGCTCGTTGCTGATTCAGAGGCTTAATTAAAAAAAATTAAAATGATCAGTTAGATGAGTTTCTTCCCGTTACATGGATATAAAACATTCATAGTTTATTAAATGAACATGCCCTCAGACACTGTTTCCTGCAGTGCCCCGGTACCGGGGTCTCTCGGGCTTAACAGGCTAATGCAGCTGCAAGCAAAGAAGAGGAGCGATAGTGTTCTGGTCATATCACTTCTCTGTATCTCACTTGTCAATTTAAATCGTAGTTCATGAAGGGTTTCTGAAGCCACAGAAGGTTTTATATAGTTTTTCTTTATATAAACAGTAGTACTCTCTGACACTGATCTCCAGTATTGGCCCCTCAGCTACGTGACCCACCGACATGCGCAAATGTTCTACTAGAGCTTTCTCATCACTTTTCGCAGCTTGAATTGGTTTTGATGTTTTCATGGGATTTCATTGAGTTATAAAAATATAGAATACAACCAGCTTTATCCTTTAAAACAGGCATTTGCACAGTTTGACAGAAACACATGATGATAATGATGTCACATGTAGTCATTCTCACTCGCTCACACAACAAGGTTAGAAACACGGTATCTAGGCTGGACTGGGAGGTGAGAGCGACCTCTACGAATGTAAGAAACGTCGATATTCATGATGCGGCAGCGAGGATCCCCTCGGGTCATTCTGATTGGGCCTTAGTGTGGGCGGGGCTAATCTCTCCCTCAGGTTCTGATTGGTCCTTGTTCAGAGACGGGCTTCCCTGATCCTGCTCTGTGTGGTCCAGCTCAGGAGTGTGTGTGGGGAGGTCATAGTCACAGGCCAGCTCCGACTCCTCAGTGTGGGAGGGGCTGCAGTCAAAAGTGAACTCTGATTGGTCCTCGGTGAACGAGGGGCTCTCCTGCAGCACCAGCTCTGACGACTGGCTCGAGGCGTCTCCGGGGCTCGCCTCAAACTGCAGGTTCGTTTGGTCCGAGAAGTTGACGGGGATCTCTTTGTACGCAAGGTCTGGCTGGTTCTGCACATCTGGACGGTTGGGTTCCCGTGGCAACGAGAGCCCCCTGTGGCGGAGGCACAGCTTGTGTAGTTCTGTTACCTCGGATACGTTCGAGCTGTTCCCACTGTCACGGAAACTGGCCAGCGGGGGGCGCACCTTCACTCCAGTCACTGTCACCGAGCCCTCGATGGCCTTACGCAGCTGGAGATACAGAGTGACAGAAAAAGGCAGTGAATCAATTGTATAAAAAAAGAAAAAGGAATGGGGAGAGACAAGGCGATAATACAAAACAGGGAAAATTCTCCATTAACTGAAGCCAATTGATGACACATTTTACAAAAGGAAAACTTAAAAACACACAACTCATGCAATGTAATCAAAGTCTGAATTATCCAGTCGTGTGTGCAATCCACATACATCTTCCATAAAACCTTACCCAAAAAAAAGATTCTCTCTCTTTTTGTCCTGATCCATTTATATGAAAACCTGTCTGAAAAATGAGCTGATCAGATCTTGGCCACTTTATGATGTCATAATGTTTTTTTGGGTTGTGGAACCATTAGCCAATAACCAACCAAGGTAACCCCGCCCCCACCTTATCACCTGAATCTCCTCCTAGAGCACCATTGTGTTAGGCCCCGGCTCCACGGGAACGCATACGGCAAAACGCATCGGAGTAACGCAAACGCAACCGCAAAAAAGCTTCCGCCCACCAGTAGCGTGGCGTGGGGAAAAATGTAGGGGAAGCCCATTTTTTTGGGTTGGTTGCACACGCCTGTTATCTAACCCAGGGGTTCCCAACCCCCGGTCCGCGGACCGGTACCGGGCCGCGGAGGTGTTACTGCCGGGCCGCGAAATAGCTGTGAGTTTATCGTAATATTTGCAGAATTATAAATATATAAAAATATTTTATCATAATATTTTTTTCAAAAAGTGTTTAATTTTCGCACCTATGCCACCAGTCATATTATTTCATCCAGTAGCTAGTTAATCTTTCACCAGAAAACCGTTGAAAATGGCTTTTATGATGTTCCGAGGGATTCGGCGGCTCAGCCTAAGGTCTCAGCCTCTTGTGCGCACGAGCATGTTACCGGTGCGCCAAGTAGGAAGAGGAGCGCACAGGAGACAACCGTTTGATTGCAGACTGTTATGTTTATGTGGGGAAATGGTGGTGCATACATTATTTGAGATATATTTCAAACTCGGACTTCATTTTAAGGACATGTCGGCCAGGGGTGTAGAGCTATTTGTTTAAGCACTGGATTGGCAAAACAGGAGAGTAAACCAGTATGCCTTGATCTATGAATTAATGTCCGGGACTCTCACGATCTGCTGCCCGCAGCTGTTTTATAGAAGGAAACCCTCCTTCATGAAATGGCTGCAGCATCAGGAGGCAGCGGGACGTAGGCCTATACTCGGTAAAGAGCTGTGCCTTTTTACGCACCGCCTTCGCTGTGTTTAACTTAATCAGAACAGTTTAAGAGTGACTGCAGGCTGCTACGTGTTAACCACACACACATCTACACACATCGAACTGCCCGATTACTCCCCCTTTTATTAGTTTTATGAAGGAGATGTCCAGTCAGTCACCAAGGCGCATGATGTGTGTGTGTATGTGCTCTGCTCAGCTCAGCTCTGTGTGTTCGGTGTGTTTGTGTCTGTCCGACACCGGCATATATGCGGCTGTTCCCAAAATAAATTAGTTTAATCTTAATCTCGATGCTAAATGCTGTCGGGAGTGCACCGGAATGAACGACATTTTCCCAGCATTCACTGGATTATCCGTAAATCATACAAACAAAACCAAAACGTTGATTTATCTGTTTTCCCGTTTTGGTTTAAAAACTGAATAACGTCGGTTTTTTGGTTTTCCGAAAAACCAAAAAACAACACCGGTTCTTTTTTAAACTTTGTTAATATGGTTTGGATGCATATTGTTCTAGTATTTGTTCAGGCTGTTACATACAATTAGCCTCTGTTGCTACCTGCTGGTGGTGAGTAAATATTAAAATCAGTTAAAATTGACAACCGGTCCGCGATTTTTTTTTAATGTATCTACCGGTCCTTGGCACAATAAAGGTTGGGAACCCCTGATCTAACCGACAGGTCCGCACGCACTCTCCAGCCGAAACTCTCGTTTTATTAATTTAAGCATTTTCTTATTAATTTATGCAGACACACACCCCCCCCAAATGCAATACCAGCCGCTCAATGCGCAGTGCAGATTCGGTAATGAATAAAAAAGAAGCATTCATTCACAAAGTAAATCAGGAGACCTTTAAAGTTTTATGTACACATCAAAGTATCAGTAGGCGTGTATGAAACACATGAATTCAAAAACAATTATTATGTACAGAAACATTTGCATGCGATAGTCCACCTTCTCTTCCCTTCCCTTTCTAACACACGGCAAGTGCAGCAACAGTCCTCGTCTCTGTAATTAGCTCAGTCCGTAGTCCAAAAGTAACTAAAAATATAAACAATCTCATCTATTCAGGTGAAATCGCCAGCCGCCTCTGAAGGGAAGCCAGAGTTAGCTGGCTTCCCTTGGCATGGCCCTGACCAATCACAGGTTGGCAAGGGCATCACGTGGGCCTCATCTGATTGGTCAATCCCTCAATTTTTTTCACCAAGGGAAGCTTGATCCGACTGGCTTCCTCTCGCAACAGTGAATGCAATCTACTGTTTCACCATAACATCTAGAGGGGCGCTGTTTGTTTCACTCTTTGTAAAATACTCAATGAGAGTGGAGGAGAGACGGGCCGGCAGCAACACACAGCAAAGGAGAATTATCGAAACAAAACAAAGTGTTTTTATTTATTTATTTAAATTATAACTACAATCTGAAAAAACAGGGGAAGCCTGGCTTCCCTTGGCCTCCGGGAGAAAACGCCACTGCCGCCCACACGCAATATACACCGGATTGTGTCAAGCTCCACGAGACGGCTCCGTTTACATCCAACCGCTGGAAAAGCTGCAGTACATATGCCGAGCCTGTACGTGGAGCTGTAACTTCCTCCACAAAAGCAGCAACTTCCTCCACAAAAGCAGCGAAGAAGAATGGTTGTCATGGCTGCACTTCTGTTTATTCTCCGCGGTGGGGGCCGAGGGATCCGGGCAGAGTTTTTCGCCGGTCAACGTGTGCTAAAGTTGAAATCTTCCGGACAAAATTATAAAAGTGCCGGTCAAAGGTCTTCTTTGTTATTTATTGAGCTTTAAAACAAATGAATAACGACTCTATATAATGATATATAATCATAAAATACACGGAGCCTGTCTCTTTTTCCTCTCTTCTCACAGCGTCAGTGTCTGTCTCATGCAGCAGCTGATCCAGTAATGATGACTCGACAGTAAAAATAAACATATTTATAACTAGATTAGGTAGTTTGAGAGGTAATTAAAATAGCTAAGGGTGATGATCTGACTTGAAGTGTGTGTTTTGCTCTCGCTGCATCACAGCGGGAGGAGCTGCGTGTCTCCGTCCTGTCAGATTAGACTTCACTCGCGTTTATGTCCATATCAAGATAAAGATAAATAATCTGAATTCAGTGTGCAGTGTACTTTTGCGGGGGTGAGCAGCAGAGGCGGGGAGAGGCGGGGCTATTGAATCGTCATTATCACAAACGGATGACCGTATAGGCGACCACACGGCCCCGTTGGACCCCCCAGAGCGCTCCGTTCCCAGATCTATCCACCTTTGGACCCGTTGTCGTTTGCAGGGTCTGTTTCTACGTTTCCGTTACGGCGTCATCGAGCTTAAAGGGCTATACGCATGAGAAATATGCGGATTCAACCCGTTTTCGTTCCCGTGGTGCCTAGGCCTTATTTTTAACCAAATATCTCGCAGAGGGGCGTTGGGAGTGGCAGCTCATTTGCATTTAAATCTACAGACCCAGAATCAGCACTTTTGAAACAGGCTGAAACAGAGGGGATTATGGGATGCTACAATGCATGATCTGTTGGGTATTTCGAGCCAAACACTTCAGAGACATGTTTTGAATATATCTGAGACCTATAATACATTGTTGAAAATGAGCATAATAGGGGACCTTTAAATAAAAGATCATCATTTTAAGTATATTTTTAACAATCATATCAAAAAGAAATGTTTCAATCAGAAGCCTGAACAATTAAAGTAAAGACATGCAAACCTCTTTGAGAGAGACAACTCCAACCAGATGTCCCATGCTGGTCACGTAGGCGTGGTCCAGGCCCAGCAGAGAGAAGATAGTGTGGGTCTGTGGAGGGGCAGAGATTAATGACTTTTACTTGATTCAGAGAATAATCTACTTCTTCCACCACTCCAAAGCGCTCAAGAGCAAATGAGCGATGAGTGAGTGTCCCTCCAGATGGTCATTTGGATGATATTGTGCAGAATGATCCCAACATTAGTCAACGCATTAAAACACCATTAAGAATTACTTTATAATTAAAGGGTCATTAAGTACATTCAAAGCACCTTTCAAATAATTCAACTGGGGTTCATGGACCTCATAACACCTGCAGTTTTAGTGCCAGGTCCTTTAAGCTGTAACACCAGGATAGCCCATCAGTCTGGTGATTAAGCCCACAATGAACTACATTTGTGTAGTACTTTAACACAGTGTGTAGTACTTAAGCACAGTGTCTAGTAATTAAACACATGTCCACTAAAAGTGGTAAAAATACACATGGTTGGCACATTTTCAGGGCGTTTATTGTCTAATATTCATATCATAAATTGAAGTCAATGTCATGTAGGTCTTTTTTATAGCGTACCTTATGCAGAGATGTTTGCTCTACCAGCTGGAAGGGAGCGGGATCGATCTTGCAGTTCTTGAAATCCACCGGCTTGTCGAGCTGCTGCTCCTCCCACTCAGCTATCTGCAGGGAGAACGATAATGAAACAATTATACTTCTAAACTTTTTTATTCTAAAACACAATTTAACAGTATTGTATTCTGTAAATGCAGCTCTCACGTCTGATGGAGTCATGCCATCTTCCGTATCAGTGGAGTCCTAAAAGACGACAAGTAAGATGTACATTTACCCTGTTTAACACACACACAAAGGTTTATATACACAAAGTTACACCATTAAGTACACTACAAAGTGTACCAACACAAACACATTATGCATGGGGGAAATCTGAGGGGGGGATCTGTTTGTTGCTGTGAGTGAAATACAGAGCTGTACGCAAATTAGTCACTTATAGAGTTTCAGAGGTTTACGCTGAGATTTGATGTATGGGTCAAACTGTTAAAACATTTCCCAGAAAATGAATAACACCTTCGGCGTTAAATTAAACACAAACAAACAATGACACGACACAGAAGGCATATTAACAGCAGTTACAAAGAAAGCTGATGAGACACCTGTTTTACACTGATGTTGAAAAGACTATGAAACCTTTACTACTTTAAAAAACAGCCCCATCTCTCTACTTCTCTGCAAAGCCACTCTGACGCTTTGTATGTTGCACCACAAATATTTTGGCCCAGCACTCACTACGTGCGTGTCGCAAGGCAACGGTTACTAAGCAACAGTCTCTAGGCGGTAGACGATCTTACCGCCATGGAGATCCGCACTTGTTTGGGCTTGAGTTGTCTTTGTTCAGGAGGAGCCGGCCCAGCCGGGCTCTTCCGACCGAGGAGAAGACATGAACACAACATTAACAGAGCTTCACAGTTTCCCCATTTATGCTGCTGCAACATTGGTTCCCCGTCTGACTTCTACCAGGAGAAGTCACATGACGTGGGCACAATGTTGCTGAAAGGGTATAATTATTACAGTACAGAAGAAGACAAGGGCAGACAATCTGTAATGAAACCCAATGTTAATACAACATGGGTTATACAATGCCAGGAAAAAGGGGTCTGAACACCACACATTTTTGTTTGGGACTTTAAGTCGTTGTGATTGTCTCTGTTGTCTCCATAAGGAGCTATTATGTTGGGAAAAAAATGGCATTGCACATTTTCACATACTGTTAAATCAGCTTTTGGTTTTCTGATGAAATGCCTCAACAACTGTTGTGGATTTATGTCTCCCTCAGGATAAACTGTAACAGCTTTGATGATCCTTTAACATCCCTCAATATCCATCAACAGGCTCACATTTGTATTTGTCCAATAATGTGGTTTATCGAATAATACCAGCAAAACTATTGACATTCCAATTAGTAACACTTATTATGTGCATTGCTTGTTAGGGAATGTGATGAACATGCTAAACATCAGTATATTAACATTAGCATGTTGATGTTAGCATTTATCTCAAATAACCACTGTAGTCTCTCAGTGTTCTTCATTACATTTAGCCGTGTTAAGACTTCATTAAGTCAGAGGGTGTTGCACTGATTTATTCTTCCTTACAAATCTATGTCGCTTAAGTTGGCATTGATGAATGGCTCAATATAGTTACTGGTCAGGAAAAATGTGCGGGCAAAAGCTTGGGAACCACATGCTGCATAACATCGAGTTATACATGTTGAACACCAAGACTGAATGTTTGAATGGCTGCTTTCTTAAATCAAATTGAATTATGTTAAATCAGTTGTAACATATCGAGTACCGGTATCTCCGCTATAAACTGAATTCATATCTTTGTAATTGAACAATGATTGACCCACCAGAGCATCAATATTGTTTAAGGGTTGAAAATACATAAAACATATTTCATACCCTTAAATTTGACCAAGAACTGTGAACATGCTGGATGTTCAAAATGACAGGCAGTGACGGTGTTATGCAATGCCTTATACAGTAAGTTATACAACTAAACTGCACTGATGATAGCACACAGGAAAACCCTGCTGCCAGTGGGTGGATCCTGCCCGTCAGCAGGAAGAGGAGGAGGGCGGCATATGGTGGACTCAGAGAGAGCCCACACCCACGTGTAAGATACGCGTCACATTCATACTTGCACCCACACATATCGTATCCCGCTCTTTAACTCACCTCCATTAGCTCCTTATCGTGGTCAGCACAGGTCAAGGTCTGAGAACCTTGAGAGAAAAGAAAAAACATGTTTTAAAGCTTATTTGATGTTCCTGGAATCAAACGTCACTGTTACTCTGTATGTGTGTGTGTGTGTGTGTGTGTGTGTGTGTGTGTGTGTGTGTGTGTGTGTGTGTGTGTACACCGATGTTAAGTACATACTATTTGGCGTCTCCGTGTCGCCGATGGCGGACACAGTTTTCAAGGCAGATTTCAGAGGAAGCTGAGCGTTGGAAACCACCGGGCTGAAGGAGGCAGACTCCTCTGTGGAGATCTATGTGAACACAATATTAACAGACGAAGCCAGACACAGGCGCACATGCACACACACACACACACACACACACAGACACACACACACAGACAAACACACAAGGCAACAAAAAACAAAACAAAGAGAGACACGAGCACATGCAGATAAACAAACAGGACAGGTAATGGCACAGACGACAGAGACACAGAAGAGAAGTGTTAATGTTACCGTGGAAATAAAGCATTTTAAACAGTTAACAGTAATCACTTACCACAACAGGTCCATCTGTGCCTTTACCTACTGCTACACGCTTCACACATGCTGTGGTTGATCCACTCTATGTCTACTGCTAATAACCCAAGCCTTTTCCCCCAGCCCTGCCCTGGCGCCCCCGGACGCCTCACACCTGTTGGGTGCTCACCAGGAAGCGGACCGCTTGGCGCGCGCTGGTGGTGGAGGAGGCGTTGATGTGGGAGTGGGAGCAGGGGGAGCTGGGCGTGCTGTCGGTGGTGAGGCTGGACAGGTGATCGTGGGTGCCGTTGTCCTGGGCCAGCTGGCGGAGGTACTCCAGCCTCTGCTGGCGGCCCAGCTGAACAGAGAGCAGCGACTGGAGCTGCAGACGCTCGATGGAACCCAGCAGGATCATGGACTCTGAAAGAGAAGGAGCAGACAAACGTTGACAGAAAACATGTGAGGAAATGAGATAGAATTGGCTATGCAGAGGTAAAAGTGGAACATAGAATAATTGCTTTGAAGGGGTTGTGTCAGCATACGTTACAACCAAAGTCAGTATTAGTCTTAATATTTTACTGAAACTAATACAACAGTCCTGCAATAAATCGTACTTTATGAAGTTTATTTCTATAATCTGCCCTTTTATGTTTCGTTTTAATGTCTTTCGTTTTTGTATTACCTGTCCCTTTTTAACCCTGCTCACCTAATCCTACTTCCCCAAGTAGTCAGTCACAGTTTATAGCAGCCCTGTTCCTTTGTGATAGCTGAAAGTAGCTTTGTTTGTCTGTAAGCTGCCTGCTGTTCCTGCTTTTTAAGTATCTTCATTAAATCTTCAGTCTCTGAGTCTGCATGAGGATCCTTTCTGCTTGCCTGCTCTCTAAACGGTCATAAATATAACTTAAAGGTGGGGTAGGTAATTTTGGAGAAACCAGCTCGAGTGTGCTAGAATTTGAAAATACACAGCCGGAAAAAAATCTGCCACTTCCTTACAGAGCCCCTCCTCCAACACACACGAACGCGCACATGACCAATGATACGTTTGTGCACAGATGGAAGGCTGGCAGGCAGGTCGGCCATCCAATTATTTTAGCCGGGCCGGCTAAAATAATTGGTCGTACTTTTTACAGTATTACGGCTTCCACAGATGACATTTTTTAATGGATTTTTTGTCAAAGCACTTAAGATATTCATTACTATCGGGATGTTAAGAGCATTCTATGGAATATAACAAAAAGTGTATCTCGAGCCAGTTTCTCAAACTTACCTACCCCACCTTTAAGCTTATAAGCATAATATTTTTAAATGAGATGTTGATTCAGCTTTATTACATTTGTGATGCTGTTGCATTCCAATGTGTTTATATTAAGTAAATGTTTCTCAAATGCATTCTACACTCATTTATATCAATGGGGGGAGAAACAAGGCACAACCTTCATGAAGATTTATCGCAGGATTCTTTAATTAGACTACAGGATGACTGAGTGTACTGTATGATTTAAATGATCATTTATTTTGTAAAACGATTTAAATAATCTATAAAAACGGGGTGAACTCATTTCAGCTGAATAACAATTGAGCAATTCATCCTGAAAAGGCCGGGTCTCACACCTGAATGATTGTTGCATAAAAACCAGTCAATTACCAAGTATTTGCTTAGAGTTTTCCTGGAACAGACAGTTCAGTGTCTCATTGTCATTTTGTATTGACATCTTTCTGTAGTATTATAATGTTGCATGCTGAGATTAGTTAAGATTGATTTTGTTTGCCATGCACTTACCCCTGGACTCAACCAGTGCCAGCGTCTTGAGCTGACCAGTCAGCAGCATCTCCTGCAGGTCCCGGTAGCAAGAGTTCAGAGTGATGTAACGCACATCCCTGACCATAATGTCCTCCACACGGATATTATACTTCCTGAAACACGAGAAAAGGGAATCGAGAGGTGTTGATACAAGAGGGAAGGAAATGAAAGGCGAGAGAAGAGATACAAAACAGATGAGTGCACAGAATCACACTGATAATAACTAAATATAACTCCATCTGGTCGTTTTATTGAAAAACAAACAGGTGGGTAATGACAAACACTCACTCTTGATGTCCCATGCCGAGTTCAGGCAGATAAGGGAGTTTCTTGATGCGGATGATGGAGTCGTACAGCGATGGTTGGAGCGACTGGGCCACGGCGTTGGCCAGGATCACAGCGATCATCACAGGCAGGATGTGAGAGATCTGACCCGTCAGCTCAAACACGATGACCGCTGTGGACACCGTGTGGGTGACCGCTCCAGACAGCGCTGCAGCACCTGTGTGGGGGGGGGGATCATAGAAAAAAAATGTCTGTCTTGTGTGTGTGACGAGGAATCTTTGTAAACATGAATAAAAGAGTAAACAGATTATGTTAGAAAAATATCACTCGTCACCGGCTTGAGCTTCAATATCAGGATACATGTATTTATTATCCTTGCTAGAATGGAAGTAGTCATCACATACAAAGCTGCATGGGACAAAATAGTTCCCCGAACAGTGTCCTTCACATGCTTATATACAAGAGAGGGTGTTACACAGTCACAAGATGCAGGAATACCGGTACAAAGCAGTATACAATGTTTAGTTTTAGATTAGCTAAGACCCACGTCAGAAATGATCATTCTTGTCATATGTCTATCTCCATAGAGGCTGAATCATCATGTTAATCACATAGCTATCCAGTGGCAGCCGGCCCATAGGGGTGCTAGGGGCACCGCCCCCCCTCTTCCCACATGTTTGATTGTCATTAAAAATAAATAAAAAAATAATATATTTTTTATTTTTATTTTTATGAACAAGGTAAATATTATATAGTTGGTATCAGTAAAATGTATAATCTACAATAAAATCTCGTTTAAAATTATGTTACGATGTCTAAAGTTACTGATAAGTCACATGTTTCCTGCCTGGCCGCAGCGTGTATCATTACCCTCTCTCGTCTGGGCGCTAAGAAAGGAGCCCTCAGCCAGTGCAGCAGCAGCCAACACATTGCTGACTGTTGCTATCTGTAAACTATGCCGCCGAAACATAATTTCAGCCAATCAGCTAATTGCAGTCTGTGAGTTGTTTGGACTCGTATCCAAGGTGACGCTACAGTAGTTAGTTGATGAGGATGGCTGCGTCTGCAGGTGGAGACTCTGGGTGCTAGTGGATCGCCGGAGCTGTAGATTAACATTTATATGCTTATTGTAGTTGTAAGGGCAATGCCTGTAGCACCATGGAGCATATGTGTGGGCTGGACCTGTATTTTACAGGAAAGGAGTGAGCAACACACACACACACACACACACACACGCGCGCCGCCACTGTAGCTATCATATGCCTAAAACATTGTGTCCTGACGCTCTTCTAGGTAATCATACATCCTGTTACATACACAGCTACAGTTGGGCCTTTTTTATCAAATACATTCAGTATTTTTCCAACAGTTTAATATCTGGTGTTAAATGTGCAATGTATCTGTGTTTTAATACAGAGAGAAGGAATGCTTCATGACAGCAAATCCAAACCAGATTTTCTGCAGGATGTCGTTCTAATTCATAACATTTAGCGCCACCCTGTCACACTAACCAGTGAGCCACGACCGTGGCAATTTTGTATCAAACGATTTTCTATTTTACTTTGGAACAAATGTAGTGTTCAACTTAAGTGAAATCAGTTTTCATCAATCTTATTCTATAAGCTGGCATGAAGTGATACAAATGGTTGCAGCTTCGCAGTGGGGACAATTTCAATGACACAGAAGAGAAGAAAAGTGGCTTGAAAAAAATTATTATGAAGACAAATTAGAAACAAAATTAATTAAGGTACAGTTTGTAAAACAATAAAATAACTCACCAACAACAGCATAACCGCCGGGAACTATGGGATACACGCTGCCATCAGCATGTATGCCATCAGGAAACATGGTTGCCATGACCTCTCCAACAAGTCTGCCAAATCCTGCACCTGCTCGTTGCACAAAGAAAGAAGTTATTTAAAAAGGCAAGATTGTGGCTTTATCAAAAGTGCAAAGTAATTACGTAACAAAAGGACATTCAAATACAATCAAGACAGGTATAGAATACAAGAATAAAAGTTACATTGAAGTGAAAGAAATCAATTATTTGAGTCAATAAAAGGCCATCACAAATAGAAAAGTCTTAACTTAAAAGAACATATTTGGAGCAGTTTGTTCCATATATTTGGTGATTAAAAACCGAATGCTGCTTCTCCATGTTGAGATTTCACCCCGGGACAGAAAAAAAACTTGTCCTAGACTACTTAAGAGGTCAGGATGTTTTATAAAAGTAGGCATACATATTATACTGTACATGTATTTTGGCCCTAAACCTTTCAGTGCTTTGTAAACCGACACGAGTATAAAGGAGGTTGTTACCACTGCAGTAGATTCGTTAGAAAACATTGAATAATTTACTCACCGATAAGAAACACTGGCATGAAGGCCCCGCATGGAACCGGCATGGTGGTGGCCACAGCCGACATCCAGAACTGAGACAGAGAGACAAGTGTGTGTGACAATAAGTAAAAAGGAATCAAATCCTACACCGTTTCTATACATATGTCAAAGGCCTACCTTCATAACGATGAAGAGGACGAGTGTGATGAAGACGTTGACCTGCGGATGTTTCCAGCCGTTGTGGTGGTGGTAATCAAACTCCTCGGCCACGCCCTGCCGGCACCACGTGCGGTTGTCAAACAGAGCGACCAGAGACTCGTGCTGCGTGAGCTGAAGGGTCGACACGAGATGGAAAGGTTATCTGAACGTGATTATATAGATGACAGACTTACAGGAGAATTAAAGGTCAGCTTTGGATCTACATCATCATGAAATCCCTGCAGCCAGAAATGCAGTACGTGGTACAGCTGGTGGATGTCATCTAAATGTTTCATTGTTTAATCTCAGACTCCCATAATGATATCTTCAACGATACTGAGGAATACCTTGGTGAAATAAGGAACATTGAATGGAATTTAATCTTCTCTGTTATCTGTGCGGTGCAAAGACACTCAATTTGAACTTGTGATTTTGGATATACAACTCCTCATGTTTCAAATATTCTAGAAACAAGTACACCTTTTTTGATGGCAGTGCAAAAGCTTGTCTTTTTGTCAAGAATGTTTCAATTAATGAGCGTCACTGCACAGGACAAATAAAGGTTGTTCTCCCTCCTCAAAAGCAGAGGTTTCTTTCTTTTGACAGTCTGAAAGGATCAAAGTGAATTTAAATGGCTTGTTATGCACAATGATAGTGGAGTGTACAGGCAATATCAGCCCAAAAGTGGTTTGCTTTGCAACTTTAAGAAAAGCTCAAACTACGTTTCACTTTGTTGTTTCCAGTGGCAGCACAATGTGTCTGCAGCCACCTTATCTGAAAAAGAGGCGTATTTCTTTCTTTTATACACAATACTGCAGCGCTGTATCAAGCAAGTTATGTGTAACACTATGACAATGAACATTTGTTAACTGTTTTTTGTTTTAATGTTGCTTTCTTTATACAGTACCAATCCATATTAGGTACCATGGCAGCTATTGAACAGCTCGTGCTATTTTATAGGAGAATCACCAGCTCTCAGAATTACCATCAATCATCTTACAACAGTCAGCAGGCTTCAATGCCGTCATAAGAGCGTGAAAGTACTTTCTCACCTGTCCCGCCATGAACTGCCCGAAGCCTGGAGGGAACGTGAGAGTGGAGATTAACAGGGTGACGAGGGCGGGATACACCAGGCGCCTGACAGGGAGAGAGGGACTGCGGGGTCATTAATGGGGGCGTCTGTCACACTCTATGTGCATGCTTGATTTATGTGTGGTGGTGAGGCATACATAGCTCTCTGTGATGTGTAAAACTGAAACAATTTATATAAAGACTTAACCTACATTTCCCATGAATACTTTTAACAGGAGTTATTTGAGTGCATTACACCGACTATGGATAAGCACTTGTTTTTATTAAGGAATAATTCAATACTTTGAGATATATGCATATCCCCCGTCTTGCCTAAAGTAAGAGAAAATGATTATTCCCACTCTCATGTCTGAGGAGTATCAATCATCTCATCTCTCGGCAATAAGACAAATAAGTGCATTTCATAAAATGCCAATCTACATAAGTGCTTAATATTCTGTGTCAGTCAGAATCAGCTACTCACTTCCTCAGCAAGAACTTGTTAATAGTCTTCTGCTTCCTCATGCACTCCACAATCAGCCGGTTCAGGTAGACAAAGAGAGCGCCACCAAAACCACAGGCAATCCTGCAGACACACAAAGACACACCTGTTTGAAGGAGAAGCAGAAAAAGCATCCCAGGACTAAACAAAACCAGCTGCACTGAAAAGCAATGTTCCTGCATGGTTAACGATGAGGCAGGCAGTTTATTTTTGGCATCATTGGGCAAAACATTTCATAGTGACCTTTCAGCATATTCAACAGGTCGGAAAGAAAAACGTTTGAAACCCCTTTGGGCGTTTTAAAGCTTTAGAAAATCTAGTCCCTGATGGGAGACTTTGGTCAATCTCAGGTCATTTTACAGAGAGTGTGTTCCTATTGGCTGTTCTATAAATGAACATGCATGTCCCTACAGGTGGTGAAGGCCTGATTCAGCAGCACAATATCCTGCAGAAAAGCAAAAACTGCCCAAACTTCAAAAGCAACCTGAGAAAAAGAGAAAGACATACTTATCTAAAGGAAAGCCTTACAATATCAATGTTGCTAATAGAAGCTCATGACTGCAGATTGCTCATTTTAATGCTATTTAATATTAGCATCATTTGTCTCTAGATCTGAAACACTTTGCCAATATTGTAGCTGGGGCCTCAAATCTAAATATGTCAGTGTATTTAAGTCTAAAAGGAAAATATGACGGGAACTCTCATATAATTCTCGCTATATGAGCGCATTCAGATCACAATGATAATCGAGATGATGCTTGAATTGAAAGACTAGTAACTAGCGTGTTTATATGCCCGTGCTCAGTGGGAGGGGTTGCGGACAGAAGGGCTCTTTATTCAGATTCAGTTTCTTTGCCATTTTGAGAAAAACCTCAAATACAATTACTGAAATGTTGTTGTGAATTTTTGCCCAATGACGTAAAAAGAAAATACAGCCTCCACAGCTTAAAATCACTTCCTTTGAGAGGAGCCAATAATTGTTCATCTTTGTTTTTTTCCATTTAATAGGTTCTTCGCATCAAACAAATCCAATTTGGCACGTCATGATGGTAATACAGTCACTTATTGTAATCAGCAGAGTAAAAAGTTAATTTCATGCTCTGTTCTTTGACTACAAATCAACCTTGAGCCTGCAGCAGAAATGTGAATGTGCCTATGAGGAGACTACAGAGGGACTGGGGGCTCAGATCTCCTCAGTAACAGTAACTGCTCTGGGATCAGGTCTATTGTGGCGTCAGTCCAGGGAAAAGACTCACCCGAGGATGGCGAACGCCGGCAGCTCCTGAAGGTCAAACGGGAAGTCAAGACGGAAACGGGTCTTAAAGAGAGCAGTGATGGTCTCTGAAGGAAAGAACACTGTTGTAGGCTGCACAGCAATTTATCCATTTGTTACAGATGTAGATACTGACATTTAAATTGGTTTTGGAGACCAATTATAATTTATTTTTACAAATACAGAATCACATTATCTTATGATGCTGAAATCTATGTGTGTAGAGATGCTTAAAATACTTATATTGATCATCGCGCCAGTGACATGACTGTGAACATAAAGTATGATAAAACTCTCAAATAATATTCTTTATCATTTTTACCAGATCTCATTTATTTTATTTGCTGAGGCAAATCCATGAAAAAAGGTAAGCTGTTATTCTTAATTAACAAGATAATTATTATTTCTTCCCTTGGTAGCTTGTTCATTTAGAAAAAACTGTTCATAAAAAGAGAAAATGATTGCTTTTCTCGAGATTATAAAATGATTAGCTCACTGATTCAGAAAAACAGGTTTAATATTTTTTTCTCAAGGGATTAACTTTTTTTCAATGTTTCCGTAACTATGGCATCCAGACAACTAACAAACATGTGGTAAAAAAAAAAATTGTCCCTAACCTTCCTCCTGGTTCCACACTGCCAGCACTCTGAATATGAAGGCGCTGAAGGTGGCAGCAAAGAAGCCCCTCCAGTAGTTCCTCACCGCAAAAAACGTGGAAGTGACCTCAATGCTGAACAGCACCCCTGCACCAAACAAACAAACAAACAAACAGAAGACATTTAACAACATTCAGACTTTATTCAAGAAATGGTTAAATAGGCCGCTATGGAAAACTGCGTAAATGTTATATCTACATTTCCATGATCCATCATAGGTTGGTGATAGCTACTCCTTTGTTATCACGTATCCTCTGAAGGTCACAGATAACCAAAGCAAATATGTTTTATCTACATTTCTTCCTTCCTTTTTTCAAGTTTTCAAAAATTCTAGAAAAGTAAAACTTGTTCCCACTAAAAATGTAATAATACAAAACACAGAAAACAAGAAGTTAAACAAATATTAACAATTAATAAGAGCCAGTTCAAAAGGTATTATCTACATTTCATGGATCATGGACTAAAAAAAGGTTAACATGAAACAGTGGGGGAGCTCATTTGACCTGAATACACATGCAACATTGAATGTCAATCTAGCCAAAGAGTTCCGAGATACAGTTAGACAGACAGATTGACCAAAGATTGTAAATTGCTCTACTGCTGGCAGGATAGTCCTACCTCCAATCGGAGCAGCGAAGCAGCAGCCCACTCCCACTGCACAGGCAGCCGACAGCATCTCCGTGTTCCTCAGCCCGTTCTGCCCGACAGGAGTCAGACGCGCACACAGGTACACACACACACAAATCCCAACAAGGTACATGTAAGTGCAAATGCCACAAACACACAAACACACAACAGGTGCATTTGTCATGAAAAGCCACCAACTGTTCACAAATTCAACACTTTTACTATAAAACCAAAGCTGTATCTTTCCACACTCAACGAGATTACATATATGAGTGATGGGATATGGGGGGCCATAATGGAAAAACCCAGGATTGAGTGATGAAACCATGAGATGTTTGTATAGAAGCAAAGACGGCATAGATCGATGCCTCGCTGTGATGGTTCACTGAACAGAATCAAACAGCGCAGACAAAATGGAAAAGCATCAATCTCTCCTCTACTTCTGAAATGGACAGCATGGATTATTAATGTTGATGAAATTGGCAATAAAGGAACTATCCGACTGGTGCATTTCATACCTTGCTTCCCTCAAAGGGCTCTTCCTTTAGCAGTAAAGGTGAGGGAAAAAGAGAAAGAAATATGTGTGAGTGTGATCTGTGCGAGTGTGGAGGTTACCTTTGATTTCTGCTCCTGGAAGACATCCAGCTTATTATCCAAACCACACAAAATCAAACAAGCGGGCGGATGAGCTTCAGCAAACAGTCTGGATTCAGCAGTGAACTGAGTTAACATTTCCCCAGACTGATTATGTTTAATGGCTGCACAGTTGACCCCTGGACTATATCAGTCTTTCTAACTGGGCTGAGTTTTTCTTCCTCCACATCTCTGCAGTCTATCTTCCTCCGTACTCATGGTGACGCTGGTACATGTGGGAGAAGCACAGCACACTGTCCTCTGCAGAAATAGACAGAAGTCCAGGGTATGGTCGCAAGTGAGTGGAGGTGAGAGTGTGTCCTGGGGAACGGCAGAAAGTCAAGTAAAACATCATAGACATTTTTATGATTACATTCTTTTTTTTTTTTGCAGCTTCACTCCTTAAAAAAAAAATCATGACTCAGAGTATATAAGGCAAGTTACTGGGAACTAGTTACTCATAAAAGTCTGGAGAGATGTGGCAAGGTTAAGTGGATTCCAACCTTTTTGGTATGAGGTAGCCCCACAGCCCATCAATCATATATATGTATGTATTTTAAAAAGTATAACCATAGTCATTATATAAAAGTGGATATTGGTTACCGTTTTCTGCAAGTGAGCTGTTAAACTTTAACTTAGTTTGGTCAGCAATCAAACCCCTACTACCTGGAGAGAGGCTTGAGGTTTCAAACGCTTATTCATCACTTTCAGTTTCCTGTCTGAACTTCTTGGCTCACTTGCTAACTAGTTTACAGTTCATATCAATCAATAATATATCAATGTTTTTTCTAATATTTTAGTGTAGAGAGCATAACCAACTACTGTAAATCTGATGGCATGTTATTTCAGAAATATTCATGGTTTATAGAGTACATTTAGTTGATATTCAAGTAAGAGGCATAACCTGTGAAGGCCCTAAAGGTTAAATCTCTAAAATAAGGTATGCATTTGAGGAGAAATCTGTGTTACTTTTGTAAATGTGGTTACTGTCCTCACCATATAACTCCCTCCGAAAAGAGGAGCCATGACTTTGCTCAGGAGAGCGGCGCACAGACTGGCCACATGAACGAAGGGTCCCTGAGAGAGAGGAGAGAGAGAGGGAGAGAGAGATCAGGATGTTAGTGGACTGGATACGACTTAAGGCACATTTGAGTTCATGGGCATTCAAAAAACCTTGCGCGATCAAAGTCTGCGAAGATCCAAACTTTCTAATCCTCAAATGAAGGAAATGCAAACGGTTATCAGCAGTAATTACTGTTTTATTTCCCCAGCTGTTACTTTAATGATACTGGAAGAAGCCGGATTATTAAATCCTCCCCACTGGGAAACTTCAAAAACTGTCAAGCAATCTGTCATGTGTAATTTGCACAGCCAAGAAGACTGTGATGTGTAGAGATGGAGGAAGGTGAAAACTCTACCTCCTTTCCCAGAGGCATCCCACTGCCAAGAGCACAGGTCAGGCCGATGACTTTGGCCACGAACGTCTTGAACGTCAGGTACTCCTTCAGGACCACGCCCCTCAGTATGGTCTTCATCTCAGGAATACCTGAACCTGGGGAATCAAAAATAAAGAGATTCCAGGTGGGGTGATGGAGTGTCGAGAAAGGACGAGTTGAAAGAAAGCAATTACAGAGAGAGATGAGGGGAATAAATGAAGAGCGAGGGGGGTGGGTGAGGGGGAAAGCTGATTGATATTCATATCGTTTTCTGTATGCACATCTCATCAGGGGTTTAGTGTATGGATTTCTTACAGACGTTACCACTGAGACACCTACAGCCCATGTCCTTGGACACCTTATGCTGCATTATAGAGCCAATTACATTACTCAAACACTGAGATGTGGACATAATTAGATATAGGAATACATATACCTAGGCATGAATTGTTGACGTGTGTGTAAGTGTGTGTCTTACCCACAGCCTGAGGGGCCAGTATCTGTGTAAATCCCGCTGAGAAAGTGATGAGCACTACAGGGTAGGTGACCCAGGCGATGTACTGCAGAAGCATGTTGCTGTCCAGTCCCCCATACATCCACTTCTGTGCTGCACACACACAAACACACACACACATAACTTCATCTCAATATAATGCAGCAGAAAACTAAACCACCTAACAAACAGTTTCCTTATGCATCAAGATTAATCTGCTGTGAATACATTAACATGGTTCCTCTGCTCTTCATTACCGCTCTTTGACCCCCCTTTTCTGCCTTATTCATTAGTTTTACTGATGTACAGCCGCTTGGTTTGCCTCCTCCTCCTTCTTATTAATTTTTCAGCTCTCTTACCATCAAACTTAGCCTTTGATAACATTGTAAAAATAGGAGAGGCCATTCTATATATAGGTGAAATGCTTTTTTTCTCCAATATGACAACATTTTTCCAACTTAAAAGACATTACAGCTCTATTTCAGGACGTGAACATGCAATGGGAACATTTTCATTGTTGTTTTTGTACTTTTTAATAAAATATCTGAGCTTTTCTCAAACATTGCCCAGAGTGAATGAATTAAAAGTCATCACCCTTGCATTGGCCAGGGCAGCGTAGGAAGAAAACTCAAGACATTTTATTAAAAAGTACAACAAAAATAAGTCCTGTATTAGAGCTGTGGTGTTCGGTTGATTCACACACAAAAAACAATCAACAACTTTTTGAAAAATTCTGCTATCAGATTTTATCATATATATATATATATATATATATATATATATACTTTATTTTACTGAATATCTTTGGGTTAAGGACAGACCCAACGAGACATTTAAAGACTTGGACCTCGAGTAACTGGTCAAATAGTCCGCACACATTTTTTACCATTCTCACTGGTTAAGTTGGAGATAGATTTAAGTATTATATAGTTTAATAGTTATGCTATACACAATTGTGGCTTAATGAAGTGGTTTTTTGTGTTATTTACAGATATATAAATAATATTACAGATATTTTATCATGTGAGAAAAAGGGACTACAATTTCGATTTAAAACATCAAAAAGTTATCTGTATAGGAGTGCAGTCTTTTATTTTTATTTCATAGGATTTCCGTTGTTTGCACTCAACACGTTTCTTCATAGTGAAATTAGTTTGGACCTCGGCACCTGGTGGATTAATTAAAGTGACATTGAGGTAACATTGATGCTACAGTATGTGGCCGCAAAAATCCCCTTTATTGACCCTTTCAATATTGATGAACTCCACTTTGTTAGCTGGCTCAAGATCAATATAACTTTGCTAGTGAAGGCCAGGCAATTTGTATTAATATGTTCTACCTTCACACCACATCTCATAGATTAATACTTTGCAGCCTTTGTAGGAACAGCCTTTTATTCACTGTCCATCTATTCATCTTGTTGCTTTTTCTCTCCGTCTCTCTCCTACCTTCTTGGCAGAAAGCGATGGCGTAGTCCATGACCCAGCTGACCAGAGCCATGAGCAGCCCCAGCAGAATGAGGAAGATCCAGTCCTCCCCCACCCGTGAGATCAGGAACTTCTGGCAACGAGACGCACACACTGAGGGCACAGAGACACAAGGATACAGAAGGAAAGTTAAAGCTATGAGATTATTCTTTAAAGTGTGAAGACTAGAGAAAGATATTTGTGGGTGTGAAACTGAAAGTGAGGGGAAGTAAAATAAATGAAGAAATCTGTATAGTGACGGAGGGGATTGGATTGCAGCCAAGGCTAGAACATCCAAGTATATTCAAATGGAAAATACATTTTGAAACCCAAATTAAAAAGGATACAAATCTATTTAGAAGAAATGTGAAAAATAAAATTGAAAAGAAGGTCATGATTAGTTTAAAGGCTGTGTAAAACAGTGTAAGATGAGTATTGATAGATACTTTTGATAGCTCTCCATTTAATATCTCCAGTATAGGCAATATTCATTATGAGCCGATACAAGCAATACATTTGTAGTAATTTTACACCAGTGTATAATTGACTGGTATTTAATCAACTGGAATAGTGCGTGGTCATTTTATCTTCAAATGGTCTCTCAATTTTAAATATAACTTGTGGAATGAACTATTTTAGGATGTTTATCACTTTTGTGTTGTTATTTTTTATGGTATGTTATCTTAAAAATCAGCTTAAGCTCTGTGATGCATGGTATCTACATGCTGCTTCTTCATGTTTAGCAGACACACTACCAGATGTTTGTGGTAAAATGCATTCAAGAACATATTTTGGTCCCAAACTATGGAGAGATTTGTCTGAATGTCTATTCCATTTCAATAAGGTGAAGTTTCCTGAACTATATTTTTGAGGGCGATAAATGAGAAAATACCATAACATTGACCTAACCTTGTGGAAATAAAAGTGACGACAAGATGTAATCATTATTCAATCTTCTGACAAAGAAATGGGAAAACAAACATAACTCTCAGGCGGCGTGAACAAATGATCCAGTTTCAGATGAAATTCAGAATGAATGGTGTATTATAGAGACAATGAGTGGAGTGGACAGGGAGATGTAATCTGTTTATACAGCGCGGGTGAGCCGTGGAAGAATAATAATAACAAACCAAAAACGCTATTATGTATTGAATTGTCATCCACCTCAAATATAAAGAATAAGGAGACAAAACACGACTGTGTTACGGATATAAATCTACCACTACATTTTAATCTATAACTCTGAGCTAGGTCGGCTAAAAGAAGCATCAGTGGACTAATTTCCTCTTTTTTGTCTGCGGACACCGCCAAAGCCTGGAATTCCCTTCAACACTCAGAGTATTTATAGATGTGCTCGTCCCAAGAGACGCTTTAAATGTGCCACTAACACAGTTATCAGATCCATTTCATCAAAACAAGTTGAAAAAGTCCAGATACTTTAAGTTCGTTTTTTTTCATATAGCATCATGACAAAACTTTTGCAATAGAGAAGAATCCGAAAAAGCTACATATTTGATGGTGACCAAAAAAAACAAAGGGTGAAGGGAAAAAGAAAATACACAAAAAGCATGGGACAAGAATATTGGTTGGCAATATTATAGAATATTTTTCTTGAAAAAGACCAAAACCATCAATGAGTTGAATCTTATTTTTACTGTTAGTATTTTCTGTGAAGCCAAACCAATGTTCTTCAATCATTCAAGTCGAATTTGTGACTATACTGCTCGTACAATTTCTTTCTCATTATTGAAATAAAAGTAGTCCTACCACTTCATGTCTCACAAATATTTATTTGATGTTTGATTGGCATTGCTCCTGTATGATAATATATGAAAAAATACATTGCAGCAGTTTTTTCCGGTACAGGATTCAGGTCACGGGGGATACTGAGTCTCCTGAGGACAGGAGGTGAGGCACAACTGTGTGCATAACAAGCCAGCTGCCCGCCAGCAAGCCCACCTGCTGGAGGTAAAGTTTCTCACAGAGAACCAACGCATACAAACGCACTCATGTGCAGAAAAACCCATCACACAGTTGACACACTCATCTAGTATGTCAGAGAGAAACAAAAAATAAATATCTATCTGTGCAGATTCCACTGCCATGTTCTTCACTGGATCTATAATTTGTATTTCACAGTTCATTGGACATTCCCATGTGCACAAAACTGGGGAAATTCACAACTCATCTGCACAAACTTCTGTGTGCATCTTGGCTGGCACTCACATTTGCAAGCTCATTGGCGATCACAGATGTCTTCTCCTGATCCCGTTATTAAAAAAAATCACCCAACGGCAGATATTTTCTCCACCTCAAGGTTCAAGGTTCAAGGTTCTTTATTGTCAAACTGACATAGCTACAGAGTAATTATGTTGTTGAAAATCTTATGTCACAGGCTTCTCCAACAATGCAACATAATAATAATACAGATAGCAAGAGCAATACAAAAAGAAAAATAGTCACCTCTGCTAGTGAATCACATCGCCTCATGGAAAATAGCTGTAATCATAAAACATACTAAAAATACAGGAGACTTTTCACCTATAAAACAGCATATTCAAAAGGTGCAAAGTCGCTGAGTGACATAATACATAATGGTGCTTGGAGTAGATCTGAGTAAAGCCAGCTATAAACTCCCAGAAGACGCACTCTATGAGTCAAAATAAGCACAGTACATGTTTTTAGCTCTCAGAGCCCTTGGCTGCATGTGTAGGCCGGAGTTACTGATCTGCACAGAGGCACACACTCGTAGTACATCACCCACAGAGATGATGATCCCACACAGATACATGAGGAAAACACTAAAAACTCCCACATCCACCAAAATCTGAAGGGTTTTGTTACTTAACAAGTAAACAGCAGTACCTGTCCAGCCTGAGCGTCTAAAGTCAGGTCTAAAAATAACCACCACAGCTTGATCTACGAGCACACAGCACACAGACAGCGAGAACACACAAATCACTCTGGCTGGCTCCTGATCTGAGAGTGATTGTTTTAAATGGCTCCCATTACAGCCAGCGAGCGAGGCTAGGCTGATATAGTGAAGCTCTCACCTATGGTGCAATGTATCGAGCTTTAATCAGATCACTAGTCACGAGGGCAGAGAGGAAGAAACAGATCCTGGATAACAGCCACACTGCTCACTTGTGCGAAGACGTAAAACAACAACAACAACACTGCCTTTCTCTTATGTTCCTTTTCTCACTTGTACTGAGATTATGCTGTTTTTAGACGATGTGTTGATTTTTTTGTTAAAAAAAACCCGGCGGTAGAACAAAGAATTTACGTTTTATTTATTGGTCTATAAAACATTTGTTAAAGTCCTACACTAAAGCCAACTACAACTATATTTCCCATCATTTAGTGGATGTAAACATGGCGTGTAATGTCCATACCATTCACTGTGCTACACTGTGGGCTGAAACTTGTGTTATAGATTATTTTAGTTTACAGTTTGGCAATTTTGACATCATGAAGAGTATGCTGAATTAGCCATTAGGAGGTACTGCTTGCAATAAATCCACAGATATATATAATAACATTAGTAAATCCAGGTTTTTTTCAGTTTTTAATTAAATACAAATATGAAATAAGTCTAGTTTCAATAATAATTTATTGTAATGTAATTTTGGATAATTCTGTTTGTATTTCATTAGGTCCACATTAATTCAGGTAGAGTAATTCACATGGAGCTCACAGCATAATATTTCTTTTTAAACAGCTTCCTTGTTTCTAGCCAGCAGCGTCAGAGTGAATAGTTTATTATGGGGATTAATCTACCGCAGAGCGTACTCATAACGTTTCAATTTATGTGAACTGACCCTTTAAGAAATACATTGCTGTTCTATTGACGTGCAAATAAACACACACACACACACACACACGTCTTTGTCTGACATTGAGACCGCCTTGTTGGCTGGAGGTCATTGCTCACATCAGTCCCATTTAATCTTGTTCACATCCTCTCCTGCTTTCCTGTGTCAGATAGCCCTTCTGCTGTACTGCTGTAAGAAATCAATGTTTTCACACAGCTTTCAAACATGCTGGAGTACCACAATCTCTCACACACAATCACACCTGCTTTAATTTTTATATAAGCATTAAACACTTGCATTGGTCTGACCTTCACAACATGAACACTTCCTGTACACGTTGTCCCTGCACTCTCACTCTGAAGAAGAGATGTGGGGCTTGATGCACGATCACTTACTATGGCACTTTGCACAGGGGTCTTTCTCATACTCCAGCAGATCGGCAGCACGACTGCGAACGCTGGTGTTCCTCCGCAGTCCTCCGCCATCCCGCACACCTCCATCCCGTAGGCGGGCCGCTTCCTCCTTGGCATACACACCCAGCTCCTGGGTGTACCGCCCATACATCTGTGTGCATGAAAGACAGAAAAAGACAGCTTTTATAGCTACATGTGGTGCAAGTGGGAGGCAGTGAAAGAAATGTCATAAAAAAGTGTTAGGGCACAGTACAGAGAGTCAGCTTGTGTAAAAACAGTGACGTTCGAACTCAGAGTAAACAGGTGTCAGATGTTTCACTGCCTGCAGCTTTCCTGCAAAATCCACCCAGCTCTGACTCAACTTCTTCTCAGACAGCTGAGCAGACAATAAGCTCCACCTGTCAGCTCTCAGCTCATTAACTCTGCAGGGCTGCCACACAATTGACTCCTAACGATGAAAGGCGGAGTCCTCAGCAAAGGACACCTAATCGATCATGTATAAAGCCTGCGTCTGAGCCATGGGTGACATTGTTGCAGCTTTGGTGCATTGACTTATACCATAATGGAGCTTTTCAAGTGTCTGTTTGGTTTGGTGGTTGTTTTTGCCTGTGATGCGTTTGCCCAGGATCCCTGGATGCAACCCCTGCAGAAAAACCAACCTGCTCTTCCTCCTCAGTGGCCGCAGCAACAGCAGAAGGTCCCTCCACCTGAAGCTCCCTTTGATAAATGCCAGGTGGAGCATGCTAACAAAATCCAGTGTGGAACTGCCGATATCACTGCTGAGCAATGTGAAAACATAAACTGCTGCTTTGAAGGCAGGCAATGCTACTACGGGAAAGCAGGTATGTGCTCTAAATGTATAGTGCCTCTCAAATGAATGCTTCATTTCAGTGTAAAATGTCTGCTGCTGAGAAATTCATCAATTTTTCTTTTTCTTCTCACCCAGTGACTGTGCAGTGTACCAGGGATGGCCAGTTTGTGGTGGTGGTGGCTCAAGATGCCACTGTGCCCAACATAGATGTGGATTCAGTCAGCCTGCTGGAAACAAATGACCCCTCCTGTAATCCTGTCGACGTCACCTCTGCTTTTGCCATCTTTCAGTTTCCTGTGACTGCATGTGGCACTATACTCAAGGTGGGTGTCCTCTTTGCTTTAGTTTAACACAGGTTAAAGCCTGTAATTGAGAAATCTTTAAGCTATACACTTCAAATTGATAAAGCATGACTTTCCCTGGTAGAACTTGAAGTCAGCCATTTCACATTGTGAAGCCTGAAACAGAAGGCTTGCTTTTTTTTTCCTTCATAAATGACAAATTCACTTTTTTTTTTTTTCAATTACTTTTGTCGATCGATTAACCCATTTGAACACAAATGTTTTTTTCCTCCCGCAGGCGGAAGAGGGTTTCGTGGTGTACGAGAATCACATGTCTTCCTCATACGAGGTGGGAATTGGACCCAGAGGATCGATCACCAGAGACAGCCATTTTGAGTGAGTTTGTGTAAAATCAATCTCCCTTATTGGCTTATGTGGCCCATTGAGGTTTCCTGAGATGTAAAATCCTCTCCTCGCTCCGCACAGGTTATTGTTTCAGTGCAAGTATTCTGGCACATCGGGGGAAGCTATCGTCATGGAGGTAAATGTTGTTCCTCCACCTGCGCCGGTCGCTGCTGCAGGACCCCTCAGAGTGGTGCTACAACTGGGCAATGGCCAGTGTTACTCAAAGGGATGTGTTGAAGGTGAGCGGCACAAAAGCTTTAAAATGATGCCAGCATGTACACATTTTGTACGTATAGTAACACTGGTATGTTTTGCTTGCAGAGGCCGTAGCATATACCTCCTTCTACGGTCCAGCAGACTACCCACTCACCAAAGTGCTGAGGGAACCTGTCTATGTTGAGGTGAGCATCCTGGAGCGGTCTGACCCAAACATCGTCCTGAACCTGGAGCACTGCTGGGCCACTTCCAACCCCAAGCCCCAAAGCTTTCCACAGTGGGACCTCCTGGTTGATGGGTATGTGGGGAAATCTAAAATGGTGTACATTTCGGCAAATTGACTGTGCATTCCGTTTTAAAAATCACTATTCTCTGCACCAGGTGTCCCTACTATGATGACCGTTACTTGACCACAGTGTTGCCTGTCGATGGCTCCTCTGGGCTGCCTTACCCTACGCACCACAAACGTTTCATTGTTCAAATGTTCACGTTTGTGGATCAAAACAACTATTCTACTCACAAAGAAATGGTACAGTTTTTAATGGCATAATAACGGTCTCTTGAGTCGTACTCAATTTGTAGTTTCCGTCACTAAATGTGCAACTTAAATGTTTCCAGGTGTTCCTCCATTGTACAACGGCTGTGTGTTATCCCAGCAGCACTAACTCCTGTCAACAGCCATGCCATCGGCAACGTAAGTATCAACTGCAATATGTCTGCAACTATCAGTTTTTTAATGGTCATTTAAATTTGACAATGTAGTGTAACTTCAATTTCATTTAATTCTGTATTTACTTCACGCTGCAGCAAATTGCCAAACTACTGGCCTTTTTTTTAACATTTAAAAATAATGTTATTGGGTACTTGTATAAAGACGATAAGTTGAAAATGAAGGCAAATCCCCTCACTAGTCAAATCTAAAGTTACTGATTCACGTTCCATCTCTTGCAGGAAGAGCTGTATCTGCGGTGAAGAAAGTTCCTTCAAGTCGGACAACTCTGGTCTCAAGTGGAGAGGTGATCCTGACTGAGCAGAGGCCATCTGCTCCCAACACCAAGAGATGAAAAGCCACCGGAAGCAAAGTGTGAATTCCTCTTTTAATAAAGCTTGTCAAAAGCTCATAATTGCAACAGTTTTTTGTCTGAAGTCTTTTTTTGAAGGTCACTCGCTATACATTTTCTGCTGAGGTGGATTTGTGCAGAGGCAGTGTAGTCGAGCACGTAATCCAATCTCTCGCTTTGTGCTGAGAAATCACAAGCTACTATTACAACTTGATACTTAGCAAGTCTAAAATTAACTGAAATGTGAATATAATGTAAGACATGGAAAATTATTCTTGAAGTGATGCTAGAGAATTTTGCAATAACTAGAAATGCCAGCTGTGCAGCACTGGTGGTATGAACAGGCCTCAAATCTGTATTTTCCTACTGAAACATTGATATTTCAAGCCGGCAACATTAGTATGAGCATCACGACTCCTGCAGGCTCACTGCTCCTTCCTGTTCTCCCCTTCTATTCTTTATTTTTTGATAACAGTCCCTCTAGGTTTCTCTTTATGCTACAACTTGCAACATCTCTCCTCCACTGCTCTACGCACCACCTCCCTTTGTCCCACTCAAACCCGTCCACCCCCTCCTCTCATTGAGATGGGCATCACGACTCCTCCAGACTTTCTGCTTGCATGCACAGGAGGTGCAGAGGGAAAGCAGCGCAGCCGTATAGGTTCACTCTGACTAGCAGAGAGAAGACCACGCTGTCAGGATCTACTTTAACCTCCAACCTGCTGGGAAGCATTTAGGCAAAACACTGCTATACATCATCAGAGAGCAGCACGTCATCGTAAAATGTAACATCCCAAAGGACTCGGCCAAGGTTCCAGCTGACAAACTAACTACTGCTCTGTGGAAAATGCATAAACCTACGTTGAGTGAAATGTAAACATGTTTTGCCACTGGTTTAAAAAGGCTGTCAATTAAAACCAACGTGTTGCTGTAGAGCAGTTTGCATGTTGGGCCAAACGAGTCATGAAAGGGGTATAAAATCATTTGCAGATTCCAATGACAATTTTTTTTTTTAAACTTTTGTCTGCATAGGGGTCAGACACAGGTCTTAAAGCCGCACTGAAAACTGCCTTCAATTTGATCTCAACTACACACGTTTAAGATTCATTACAGCCTCTTGCACAGTTGTGATCCGTGGTGACAACAAGGTTTCTGTGGTAGTTTCTGCTACCATGGGTCTCCAAGAGCACTGTTTGCATCACAAGGTACCCTTGTTACAGCTGGTTTTTATGTAATGAAACTTAGTAATTCAGTTTTTAAGGCTTAAAAGTCAACAACCTTCACAGCATAGCGGTCAGGATAATTTATAAGACTCAGAAGGGCATTCAAATGTGCAATGTCATTTTATAATTCATATTCTTATTTTTGGCGTCTTGCCTTTACTGGAAAACAGTTGAGATGCAGACTGAAAACATGGGGAACATGTCCTGCAGCCAGATGCAAACCAGTGATGCTGTCAATGGATTTACAAAAACAAATGTTGCACATAGTAAGAAAAAAGGACTAAAAGCTAAATCTGAAAACCCAAAAATTATGATTGCTTTCAGGGCACTTTCTCCATCCAAAATTAATTATGTCCCACATCTGTCAATTTCTAAAGATCTTGTCAATTCACTACATTTGTTAAATTAAAATCTATTCACAGCTACAATGACTTTCAACTTTCTTATTGAATCTTGTGTGTTGGCAAGCACATTTTTCCTTTGCCCACACGTACAGTATAGACACACAAAAAACCACCACCAGCACCAGACAAACACCCACACAAACCAGGCCTGTGATTCTTTCTTTGGCCTGCGTGAAAGCAATCACTGGCCATCTGGAGCACGGCCCCCTGGGAGAGCAGCAGGTGGGACCCTGTGGGTTAAATGAGCTGTTATCTGTAACCAGTTCACCTCCCACGTGACCAACTTCTGTATCTACATTAGTCAGTTTACCTCCCACATCACAACCCTCTCCACCCGTTCAGCTCCTACTGCCTCCCACAGGTTGCTATTGACTGGTTTGTCATAGACTATGATGCCCACAGAGAGGACTGTTCCAGTGTGAAATAGTTTCACATGGGAAGACATTTCACACCACAAATGAATTTGAGTAAAACGGTGGAAGACAAATCCAACACGCAATAATCTAACAAATTAAACTGGACACTCATAGACAGAAGATCTAGAAATGTCAAACTTAGACAAAAAAAGAAGCTTGAGTTGAGAAGCAGGAGCTATTATGAGTCACCTGTCAATCAATCAAACATTGCTCATGCCATAATTCTAATTTAAACAATAATTCTCATAGTTGCCACCTAGTAACAAATCAGAAAAAAACTGTAAAAACTTTTTTACCAACAAAATGTACTTTTGTGCCACTAGGCAAAAGACTGCAAAGCGGATCATGGGAATTTGTCATTGCAGTCAGATTATTTGATTAGGATTATATTATTTTTAATTGTTCAGGGTTTTGTTTTTAAACTAGAACCAAATTATTCAAAGAGTTTTCCTTCTCTCCAAAACAAACCCTGGCAAGAAAAAAAAACTAAAATACTGCACAAGCAGTTTCACATTAAATATCAGAAGGGCTTCAAGCTTAAGGCTAACTTTGAATCAGCTAGTTTCTCTTTTATCTAAAAGAGTCACGGATCCAAAGTTCATCTGCCAGATGAAAACTGTACAGTTGAACAGAGAGCGCACCACATGTCCACCAAATGTCTTCTGCGTCAGACCCCCCACTTTACTGCTACATCTACCATTTTGCCACTTTTCTCAGTCAGATCATGTGACAGCCTTGCACAAGATGAGGTAAAACAAAGTTCTTTATCATGCAGCCATTTCCAAGGCGCTGCAGAATAATGTATTCATTGATAGGAGACGGCAAGGACAAATATTTGACAGTCTAATGATTAGGGTTTGAGCATCAAATCTCTCCTCCTTTCTGCTTTTCCTTCCTTTTTTGTAGTGTGTGTGAGAGTAAAGGGAGCTATCACAGCGGAGGGAAAAATGGATGTTTCAGACTCTTAAACTCCTACATACTCTTGTGGTGGTGTGATTACTTAAACGTGTGCTGAGTGTGTGTATTAATGAGACCAGGGGAATACCAGGAGCACTAAAGCACTCGGGCTAATCTGAGCCATGCAGCCTCCAGAGAAAATATTGGAAATTGAATTAGAGGAGGAAGTGACAAGTTTGACTCATCCCGCAGTGTAGATTTGCATTAATATAGGTACAGGCGTCTGCTTTTAGAGTAGTTAGCCATGAGTCAGAGCTCATACACACACACACACACACACACACACACACACACACACACACACACACACACACACACACACACACACACACACACACACACACACACACACACACACACACACACACACACACACACACACACACACACACACACACACAAAAATAGACAGTGAAATGAACAAGAAAAACCTCGATGCTGTCGAGCAAACCCTGTGCACCGAGACAAGTGAAAATACACCAAAACACACTGATTATATCAGTAGAAAGCAGCACAAAGATGGGGGAGGGTTTGGAGGGATGGGGGTGATGTCAGAGAGACTGAAGGATCAAGCCGAGAGAGTGACATCTTGTCAGAACACGACTTGAAGGGGGGTACGGGCTGTTTTGTGTAAATCATGACACTCATCTACAGAGATTACATCTGCAACAGGTTTGAAAAGAGCGTTACCGGGAGTCAGAACAGGGAAGATACACTGAAAGTCTCCCCGTGGTGGTATCTACATTTTAACAATGTACGTTTCTAACGCGGTAACATTTGGAGGTAGTACAGTATATCTATTGTATGCTACTTTTTATTCGCATACTTCAATACATTTGAATATACGGTACATTGCTTTTACTCACAAAACCCCTCAAACAGCGATGGCAGCACCTTCCATCAGGAGAAATCATCAAGACCTTGATCATGCAAGACTCAAGGTCACCTCGACATCAAACCACCAACGCTGCGGTTATTTTGTCCTGATCTACCTGCTGCGTCACCTATATTATGTTCCTCAGAAAGAAATCATTTTTTACTTCATTATATTTACCTAACAAGAGCATAATAGGGCTATTCTGCATAAGTAATATTTTTAAATAATACGTCAATAGTTTTTTCTCAAGATCTCAATATTTCTTCAAGCGCAGTTTATTTCAAAAAGCTATTCAATGTGGGTTATTAACGAATGTTTATTATACAATTGATTAGGCCCTACATCCTCTGAGGGGTTTCATAACAGAGGGCACAGGTATATTGTATCTTGGCAGTTAGTTATTTGATACGCGAGTACCCTCAACAGTACAATGAGCAGGGTCTATTTTAACAGTGAAATAAATTAAGATGGATTTTGTCTGTCTGCAGTCTCTGCAGTTGGCCATTCAGTGACGCGCAGGTAACGGCACTACTCGGAAGTGACAGGAACTGAAATGGACTCAAGCCAGCCTCGGTGTGGGAGAAACCGACAGAGTGCTGACTCTGAAGAACTAGACCCCCCTTTAGAGACAGCGCTATTATGTGAGTGTGAGTATGAGAGTGAGAGAGGAAAAGAAAGATGCTGAGATACAACAGGATGTGTGTGACAGTCAAATCCTTTTCACAATGTCAGAGTTTTCTTTATAAAGCTTCACATTGTAACTGCACTAAATGCTGATGAGATTTATGTTAACAACATTTAATTACAAGAAACAGAAATCCTCCAAAGTGATGGAAGTGAACTTCAAACAGCATGCTTATTTATACCAACCCAACTGGTCTGTGACACTTTCCACCAAACAATGCAAAAGAGAAGAGCGAGGCAACAGATCTCACAGTCCAGTTTTTTTGGACAAAGTGCTTTCTCACTGCTCTTCAGGAGACAATCTGTGTCTGTGATGCACAGTGCAAAGTAGCAATAATGTAGACATGTACATGTCTTAATACTGTGTATGGAATTGCATCCATATTAAATAAAATGTGTAGCAGGAGAATACAAATGATACTTTGCCCAGTGAGACTGCTATGTTCACACAAATCTTACAAGTATTGTGACTTTAAATATTTATGAACATATGGAATGAGATACAAAGGCGGTGAGTCTTGAAAGTCAGTGCAGCAGGTTGCTCAAAAAACATACATTCAGAAAGGCCGGCAGCTTGTGTGCTGTGTATGTTTTCCCCGGTGCTGCAGTGCCCTGTGGCGAGGAGTGGGGGGATGGGGGGACGCGAGGTGTGGGTTGGAGGCTTTCCTCTTCAGGTATATCATGACTTTGATTCCTGCAGTAGTCGTATCCTCAAGCCTCCCGCTGCTAGGACATGAACATGGCGTCCCTAACATCTGCTCCAACAGAGACTCACCATAACCACTTATTTACACGTACGTGTAGGCAGGTATACACCTACACAAACCCACATGCAAGACCTATGAAGCAAACAAGCCCACGCTTCTGAATGACACATGGAGACCTCCCACACCTCTGAAAAAAGCTTTTGAAAATATTTCAGTTGGAAGGCTACAGCACTTCAACATCGTCTGTCTCTTTTTAATTCAATCTCTGGTCTGTGTCTTCTTCACTGCTCTATCCCTCCATCCCACGACATGCCCGGCGATGAAACCACAGCCTTCTGTCCCAGCAGACACTGCACCTGACAGCAGTTGTAGAAGTCAGTGACCCATGCACCAAACCCTGGCTGCTTTCCAACTGTCAGTCTCTGCATCTCCACACAGGAATGAGAAAAACAGCTAGCTGCCTAAAAAGGCTTCCTACACACTGATTAAATCATGACTATCTGAATGGTTATAAATAGCCAGTTTATTCTCCGTTTTACTATTGCCTTTGGATAATGAGTTCAGAGAGGCTTGTGGGGATGCTTTTTAAAAAATGTGTTTGGTGCAGAGGCAGAAAATACTGAACAGCATGAGTGCTGCTTTGCACGATTTATGAATGGATATCATTTACATATGAAATAATTGATTTCTTTGTGGTTGATGTTGCACAAAGGGAAATGTAATCACGGTCATTTGCAATGTAATTAAATCAATTATTCAGCCGTTCATCTCATTTATTTGATACGTTTATAATTTCCCACCATATTTTATCTTAATGGATTTTCACAGCAATGCTCACTGACTGTAAAACTCCAGAACCAACTCCAGCCATAAAACAAATAGATATTTTTGTTTCTTGTTTTGGTAAACATGACAGGCAATTAGCAGCAAATCCAATAAAATGTGAAAGCCAGAAAAGTTTCAATACTGGAGGGAAATGGCAATTTTTAGTACAGCAGCTGTGAATGATATGACATTTCTGTGCCGCTTCCTGGTGGAGAAATTATCAGATGCATCTCATTTTTTCTCTATCTGCATCATGTCATCTGCTCAGTCCTGCCACACAGTTGTTCTGTTCAGCAAGAAATTCAAACCACCACATGACTAAAGATCCTCTAAATCTTGCTGATGGCAAACAATAGAAGACAGAGGATCCTTTTGTCAACATCAAAATCCAATTTGAGACTGCAGCTACAGGCATAAACTCTGTGAGCCTTCCCTATTTAAATGTGGTTAATATTTATCTGAAAACCCAGATGCTTTGTTTTACCAGAGGGAAGGTATGTGATGAATATTGCTGCAGCTTTACACTTAGAAAGTATTGAAGCACAAGCAGCAAAATTGCTTGCATGTGCAGATACACACATTTATTTTAGGGGGGAATGGACTGGTATGCAGGGAGTGAATGATAAAGCCATTGATCTGAGTGCTGGTCAAAGGAAAGGGGCAGACGACATGTTCCACTTCCAATCTTCAGAGACGACTGCCATTTTACATTAACTATTGATTTTACAGCACAGCATTGATCTTCACACTAACAGAAAGCCGAAAAAATACCTCTGTACCACAAAAACATACTAACAGATTTTGCTACATGTGAAAATATATACACAAACTAAGAAAGGAAGATGAGAGATAACTGTCAGACTCACAAATCAGGGTGGAAGGACACTTTAATCTCCACTGATTTGCCTCACTGCCATCCTGTCTGTCTGTCCCTTCATCTGAATATACATATCCCTGCGTGGAGTGCTCCAGGGTATCATTGTCAGCCAGGACATAAGTGGGGAAAACTGGTGCATGAAGCAATTAATATTCAGAAACACTCCACTTTTAGTTCATAAGTAGAAAGGGTCGATTTTAAAAAGCAGGAAGGGCTGAGGGGAAGATGATAGAAGAATACATGAGGGGGCATGAGAAGGGACAAGATCTGCAGGATAAATGTAGGAGATAAGGACGACACAGGACGTGAGCAAAATACATTAGAGTTTAGTAAGCAGAGTAAAGCTCTAATCTCATATTTCAGTGACTTTCACATCTTAATAATGATGACCCGTTAGGCCTGACATAAGATAGCCATACTGTACATGCTTTTTTTTTTTTGAGGATAGCAAATGGTTCTGACTTGGTTAAGTCTAAATTGAATTATAAAGGGGGGGCATGCAGTGGCAAAGATTGATGCAACACCTGTGGATCAAGGTAAATTAATGAAAAGCAGTATAGCAGCTGCAGTGAAACATACACAAAGGGATCCAAATCTGCCAACAAAGACAAAGCTATTCTGATATATCTTATTGGAATATTCCATAAAAAGCTATCCTTTCCCTCGAACAGGACACAGTTGAGCAAGCAGCAGCTGAGCCTCCATCCTGCGGCCAAACCAGCCTCCATGACAGCGATACATGACTGACAGATGACTGAAAGCATCATCTATGACCTCATCCGAAACTCACCAAAGTTTGCTGATACTGAAGCGTCCGGTTTTCGGCCTTGTCCTTCACCATTGCCGCAATATCCTCATTAAAGTCACCCAATCCGAAACTCCCGGGAGCCACGAGAGCGCGCGCTAATTAGTGTGCGACCCGGCGCGACTGCCTGCCATCACACGAGCGGCGTGTAACAGGTTTCTTATTATCAGCCCTCCTGCATGATGAAAAGCGCCGCCGCTACCGAGATGTGTGTGTGTGTGTGTTTATTTGTGTGTGTGTGTGCCAGATGAGAGCAGGCTGTATCTCAGTAGCTGGCGCCTCGCAGCAGCGCTGGTGCGGTTTGACTGCTAAACACCGCCTCCTCCTTCACTATCTGTGCTGCTGTCTCTCTCTCAGTAACTGGAGTTTAGTAGTTGTGTGTTTGTGCAGATGTGTTTAATTATGATGTGAAGGTTATGATGTTTTTTGCGTGGTATTTTCAACTGTCTTTTTGAGTCATCACTGGATTGATTGTGATTGAGTGTGATGAGTAATTTTTTTTTTTTAGTCAATTTATTGAACATGTCAGAAACAAAACATACAACAATAATAATAATATATATATATATACTCTTTTTTTTTTTTCTTTCTCACTCATAATAATAATAATTATAACAAAGTACAAAAAGCAAAGAATAAAAAAAAAAAAAAAAAAAATTAATAATAATTCTCAAATAGTCTCTGTCATGTTCAACAGGGTCAAGAAGCTTAAAAAAAACGTTTCTGGTCCTACCCCCTCTAGCATACATTTTCCTTATAAATAAAATATTAGGTCATCGTCATCAGCGACATGTTTGTCTTGTTAATTTGTTTGTTTTTTTACAAAACAATCAGAAAGAAATTACTTTTACAATTACAAGAAATAACAAATGGGATTTTACAGGTCCTGTTCATAACCATTAATGATTTGGCTCCTAAATAATACTTTCAGTTTAGACTTGTACAATATTTCAGTGCATCAGTACAGTTATTCCACAGACTAACACCTTTTGATGAGATGCAATGAAGTTTGGCATTTGTTCGTACGGGTGGTTTTTTGAAAATGCAGTTTCCTCTCAACATGTGCATGCTTTCTCTCCGTGTGAAAGGTCCCTGGATATTATGAGGTAATTGTTGATTTGCGGCTTTGAACATCATTTCAATAGTTTTATAGTCAACCAGGTCTTGTAGTTTTAGTGTTTTTAGTTTGATAAATTATTTATTTGTTGGTTCTCTGTACGTAGTTTTATGTATAACTCGTATGGCTCTTTTTTGCAGGATGAAGATAGGATGTGTATTTGTTTTACTGTATATGTGTTCCCCCAAACTTCCACACAATACATCATGTATGGAAGTATGAAGGAGCAATACAGCATAAACAAGGAAGCTTGATTAATTAGGTATTTGGCTTTATTCAGAATTGCTAGTGATTTGGATATTTTGGCTTTGATATGCTTATATCGGTTTCCAACTTAATTTATTGTCTATGATTACTCCAAGGAATTTTATTTCCGTTACTCTTTCTAATTGGACGCCATTTATAGTGAGTTTCTTCTCTGTATTGGTCGATCGATACCCAAATATTATGAGTTTGGTTTTGCTTGCGTTCAATGTTAATTTATTTTGGTCAAACCAGATCTTCATCCTGCTCAGTTCCTTTGCCATTGTGACCAATAGCTGTTCTAAATTGTCCCCACAGCAGAGTAGACTTGTGTCGTCTGCAAAAAGAATGGTTTTAATAGTTTTTGATACTTCACATATATTGTTAATAAATAGTAATGGCCCCAAGACAGAGTAATTCACAAGGGTGAGGCTTTTACAGGAGGATGCATGGCTTTGTCAATGTCAAGACATCTACAACATCAATAAAATCGCGTTAGTAAGCGAATAAAGAAGTGTTTCTGAGCACCCATTAGTGTCTTTATAAGTAGCCATTACCTCACCTTACTGGCATGCTGCCTAAGTAGTTTCAAGGAGAGTGGTACCATTTTTGTAAATCAGTTTATAATTCTGTATTTCAGATAATCTTTTCGAATCCCAATCCATTAAAATATGTTTTAGTTGTTGGCCTCCCTCTTGCATACAGACATGGAAGACAAAGAAGACAAATAAAGATTGATCTGTGTCAATGCAGAAGACAATAAATACTGACTTTTGGTTCCCATTGGGCCAAGCTCCCTACATTTTATGTGTCTAAGAAATCACATAATGCAACTAAATGTATGAATTTACCTCCTTTTGCAAGCTATATATTAAAAATGTAGAGTCTCAAAACAAAATTGGTGGTGGTCATCCATCGGTAGAGTTCACAAACCTGTAGAATCAACAGAATGAGAATGAGTATTAAAGCTTCATGTCGGAATTTAAAGATTGCCTCATGTTCAAGTGCGGACACTTGGTGGACAAAAGTCTTCTTGGCGACCTAACAGCCCCATAAGAAGTATTTTGCAGTGATGTGTCATGCTCATGGGCACCACAACACTCCCTGTTAATGCTATATGCCATACAACTGTCTGGAGTGTTAAGCCTCTTTCACAACTATCCTCTGTAAATTACAAGGATAACCTTTAAAGGAACCAGTGATTTTTGGTGTTCACAAATGCACTGTATTCAGGAACATCTTTGTGTTGCACCTTTCACACAGGACATGGCAATGCCGGAATAGATGGGACCAGGGACAGTCCAGTAGATGGCGGTAATGCAACACTTGTGCCAATAGCCATAAAGCTCAACAGAGACATAGTTCATAATATTAATATTATTATTAATTATAAATATAATATAAAAATACAACATATTGTACATCAAATAACAACATGTAGGGCTAAGAAATTGGAGTTATATTATAAATGTCCAAATAATCGAATCGGTTTTGCATTTATATTATTTGAGTTTAAAATGTTCAGTAGTATTCAAGTAGATTTTCAAATTGGTATATTATAAAATAAAGAATGAGGTATAGTCTTCTAAGCGATTCCATTTTATGGATATAATAAAACGTAATATATTACCCCATTCAGGACATTTCCATAAACATTTCAGGGATAGACTGCATGTGTGAAAAGGGACTTCAGTGTCTGTGTGTCAGCTTGCAGAATCACCTCACAGGAGAACATGTATTCAACACTGAAAGCTCCCACATGAAGGTTTGCTATATTCTCAGATCACTTCCTTTTCATAGATGCCACATGTATTTCAATACTTTGAGCTAATCTCTCTGGGCTTTCATAAAAAAAAAGCTTTTCGGAGGTGCTACTCATTGGCTGCGAAATCTATTACTGAAGATGTGCCAAGAGAGACTCACACCTGAAAGATAGCGCTCCAAGGATTCACTGCTGCTGCTTTTCCAAGAGCCAAACATCCCTCATGTTTGCCAATATGCCCTCAGCTGGATGAGAAATACAGGATACTAAACATTTCAGGAGTTCAGAACTTTCTCAGACTCCAACAAATATACTTTGTTACCAATACTTACTCCGGACATTGTTTTTAAATTGTACAACCAAAGCAGCAGGTCACTAATGCATTCAAGTTTTAAATGGATGGCATAACATGAAACAATTCAACTGGTCTCAGGCCGGCTTTCATTTGAATATCAAACTCTCTGATCCTGTACAGGTTAAAATACTTAACTCTTCTGGGAGTCATTGCTTGTGACTGGCTGACAGATAAAACGGTCCCGCACAACCCTGCGAATGATTGGCTGTTGGCAAGGCAACTAGTTCAAAGCCCTGGTCGGCATGCACCTGAATGAACGAAGGCCTCTGAGACCGCTGAGTGATGGGAGGGATTTCACCCAAAAGCCAACACTGACAAATACATCATTCAAACATTTCATTATTCATGCACTTCAGGTTCGTATGCACCTTGTCCTGATATTATCTCCCTCTCCAACACACTCATAACTGGGGGTAAAGAGTGTCACTGACTTCATTTTATCAGGGAGCTGGCAGGCACAGACAGACAGGAAGGGGTACAGTGGCCCCGGCAGCGAATAACTAGGTGCTCTGCTGCCCCGAGCAGCAGCACACTGACCCACATCTCTACAGGACTCTTTAGAAATATAAACCCACCTTTGCATGGAGGTTTGGTAAAAAAATACAAAAGCAAGAAACACATAACCCCAGGCCTATATCATAGTGAACACAAAGATCAATGGTCCTTCTGTAAATAAATAAACATCCATGTGACGATGACAGTGCATGAGAAAATAGTCACTTCCATTTACCAGGCCTTATTAAAAATGGTTTGAATAATTAATAGTTGTGATTAAAATAGGTGATGGATTGGTATAGTTGGATGTAAATTCATTGTGTGTCATTGTAGAGAGAGCTAGGTCTTGGTTGTTGGTCAGAGGTAAAGTCTCAGAAAATGTGTTACCTTCCATTATTTATTTGTTTTATTCATGGCCTGAAAGTAACAGTAAAAAAAAAACATGGCTACTAAAGGCATGAATGTATGCATTTTCTCATATATTTTACTGCAATACTTCTCCAGAATTAAAATGAAATTAGTCATTGGTGGCAACATACAACCACCTGTGCCCCTTTCTGTTTTGCATGGCAAGTTTTTCAAATGTCATTCATGTTGGCATCACCTGACAGAAAAAACCTCACAAAATGACCTCAGGACAGCAGCAAATACACCATAACACAATCAGCCCTTCAATTACCATTTGCCCTTGAGCTAGATATGGACAAAGTTCTGGAGACACAAATGCATTATTCACTTTGAAGAGAAAAAGAGAGAGGAAACATACTTACGGTTTCCCCAGTGTCTGTTTTCCTCCTCCTTTTTCTTCTCTTCTCCTCGGGCTACGGATTCAAAACCGTCAGCTGTGTCCCTCCATTGTGCCTTGACGGAATACAAACTGAAATTAAAGGGCACACAGCTACAGGTTGCAGTGAGCACACTAATGGATGTTGTGATCGGGCAACGAAGGTCTCCGAATGGTTCCCGGGGAAATCACACTTCACTCCACCGGAGAAAAATCTTGGTAGATCCCACAAACTGGCCAGTCGCTGATGCGCAAACCATGCAGCACCGCGCCAAACTTGTCAACACGGCGCGTAATTACCGGTTTTGCGCCTCCAAAACAGCGCACAGCGGAGCAGGCAGCTGCTGGCTGTTTTGGAGACCAGGAGCAACAAGATCTAGCCGTATGAGAGCGCGGCTGAATGGGATTGTGAGGCAAATAAACTCTAGGAAAAGACGCTACCGTCTACTCATCTGTTCCACTTGAGGTGGGAGGGAGGCAGCGGGGTACCGGGTGTCGTGTCCGTGATGCAATGCGGGTACCGTCAGTGCCATGGCCCGCAGTTTTATCCTCGTGTGCAGAAATCCATGTGCTCCGGTCATTGTCTGCGGAGCCGCGGCGCGCATTCGTCTTAATTAACGGCGGTGGGGTTTGTCGGCAGAGATAGCAGGAGGCTTGGAGGGGGGAACGCAAAGCATGTGTAAAGTGTTGAAGCTCTCCTCTCTCTTCCTTTCTGCTTCTCCTCCTCTCTTTTTGTATGTGACAGCACACACACACTCTTGGGGTTTAATATTAGATAGCATGCGTCTTAATTATGACACAAATAAACGTCTTGGGCAAAATAGAAATGATCAGGGGCTCAGTCAATGTCCAGGCTGGGCTGGGGTGATGGTGTTGAACGTGTGTCTGAAATGAGGATGGATGGTGCATTGCCTCATGTTTTCTCTTATCCATGTCTTTGACAGCTAATATACCTCCTCAACCCCCCACATGTCAGTTGAATTGGAGCCCGTCGCCTCTTCCAGCTGCGCCCTCCAGGCATTACAACCCGAGGGATGTGTATCCGGGTGAAGACCACTTGTTCAATTCTTCTCCTGGGTGATAAATGCAGCAAGTGTGGCTGTTAAACGATCCTTTGAAGGGTAATCACTCAGTCAGTGATTTCACGTTGTCCCCCATGCAAAGAACAGAAGCCTGTAAGAATACATGAAGCACTTTAGAGAAAATCTAAGTGGAATACTGTAACAACAAAATAAGTTACAAAATAAAATTATAATGTGAAGAAAATCTGTCCATCTGGTACACTTATACCTTAGATAATTATACTACTATTTTCCAAGTAGGCCTAACTTGTATTACACACACAGTTAAAACACAAGCTACACATCTGTATAAAACACCTATAATGAAGAAAAAAGGCCTCCCACTGCGGGCTGTGTCGCTTCCTCTGACACCAATTTTGTGAATTATCTGATTCTGAACCTGAGCTGCTACCTCTATTGGCCGGAGCAAATTGTCGCAATAAGGTAAATAATCTCCAGCAGCAGTGGCGGGATTTTGATGTTAGCTTTGCAAATGGAGTCTTTCACAATAATAAATCATTAACCTTTTAGTCAGCAGTGCAGCCCACTCAACGCTCGGAAAGCCAACCCTGGCCAAACGAGAAGCAAAATAGTCCCGCTAATATCAATGAAAGCCATTTTCAGTCTGTAACATTTTGTTATGCTGCGCAGCAGGAAAGTTGAAGCGCATCCTGCTCTCCAGATAACGCTTGCACTTCCCACTGCTGAATGAGAAGGTGGGATATCAAGTGGGGAGAAGACAAAAAGGACACACAGCTCCTCTACAGTGGACACAGGGAATTATCCACCTGGCATATTTCTTAATGGAACAAATGTGGATTCATCGGGAGTGGCCAAGCAGGGCATGGCGTTAAGCAGTGAGTCTGAAAGGTTTGATTTACGAAGATTTTAATGCTCTGTACAAGCTGACTTGTGGCACCTTAGCTTAGTGTGTGTTTGTGTTTGCCCAGGACTCCTGCTGCTCTTTATGGTAGCCTCTGAACTGCGGGATGCTGAGACAAAACCCATAGAATTTGTGTGTAATAAAGGTGCCAGGCGGGCTATTAACATTGTGGCAGAGCTGGAGAGTGCACTGGTGAGGATATGACTGTCACAGATACATTTTACCAACATTTCTCTGTTTCTCTCACCCATGTCTCCCATCAGCCTGTCTCTCCCTAGTCCAAGTTGTCTATCAATTGTCTCCTACATGTCTCCCTTCCTTGCAGAGTGAATGTTATGGCTCGACAACACTCTCCACCCCGGTTCAGCTACCCTGTACCGAGCTTCACGTAGCATCTTGGGAAAACAAATCAGTATGTTGGCACATAGTTGAGTCCAAAATCCTCAAAACAATGCTTTTCTTGCTTGCTTACTATTGGTTTAATGAGAATTAACTAAACTTAACTTTTAACTAAATATGATTGTCTTGATAATATCCTCTAAAACATATTTCTGTATGTATTTTGTTACCCCAGGACCAGGAGAAGAGAGGAGACATCGTTGCATCCTTGAAGCTTCTTGTTGAAAGTGTGAAGGTGTTCAAGGCCCAAAGCCAGCCGGGATGTGCTGCTTCACTTCTGCAGAGACTGGAGAACAACATCAACAACTACCTGCTCATTCTCACACACCTTCAGCTGAGTGTAGGTGGCAGTTACAGTGACAAACTGCACGCAAATAAGATTACAAGCAATGATTTGGTGATTTGTTGGAGATTAGTAGACATGTGGAGGTTAAAACTACTATTGATTTAGCTGGGAAATGTCTGAATGTTGTGGATAAATATAATAATTTAAATATCTATTCCACAATTTAGAAAATCAAGTTGTACACCATAGACAATAAAAAGCTTCTTGGAAACTTTTACTTTTTGCATCTGGATGCCTTTTTGCCTGTAAATCACCAAAACAAAGTTAACTCAGTCTGCAACTCACACAAAAAGAAAGACAAATAAATGCATCAGTGTGTTGATGATCACATGTTGACTGATATCAGACAGAATCTGGCAAGAACATTCACACAAAGTGAGTGAAAACGTGTTGATTCTCTCTCACTGATTTAGAGCCATTATCAGTTTCCTCTGGTGTGGAAATATCCTGGTTTCTCATAAATCTGTGACTTACTAGATACTATGTGCCCTGGGAGTGATGATGTTATGTTTAGTGACCCCAAGCCTTCCTTCCTCAGGACAAGAAGAAGATAGCAGTGCATACTTTCCCAGTGAGACACAGTGCAACACGGATGGCCTCTTTCTCTTTTGTTCATGTTCGGTTTTGTTATAACAATGATCTTTTCTGTTTGGACCAGCAGGGGCCAGCAGTGAGTCCAGGACTGTCATGTGTTCCTCGAAGTACCCAGAGTCTGAGCACAGTCCTGTTGAACTACAACCAACTGATCTCAGGCAAACTAGAGCGGTTTGTCATTAACCTGGAAGACAGATGCAATTCCAATTAACATATGAACAAATAGAGTGGACCTAATGTTCTTCCAACTGCTCCCCCCAGGGCGATAAAAGAAGAATGAAAATCCAACAGAGCAAAACTGTCAGAAAGATCCAGATATTCTCCTTTCCCTGTTCCACATGTTTATGCACTTTGTTGTAGATCTCAAATGTTGTATAGGTGAAAAGTTTGCTTTTTTTATATAATGTATAACTTTTTAAGAGGATAAAGAAGAAATACATCCTTTTCTGCTGGTCGTTAAGCGCAATTAGAGTATCATGGACAAATGAATGTATAACAGAAAGGCCGTTTTTTTAATGAATTTACTAAACTATGGATGCTTTAAAGTTTGTTCTCAGCCAATTGAACTATTACAAGCCTACAATCTGCAAAAAGTCAACCTGATTTGGATTTATTTTATTTTTCAGATTTGTTGTGATCTTTAGTGGTAGCAAGGCTTGCAAAGCTGAGGAAAACGTACAAACCATCCAGTTGCAAATAGTTTTATTTCACAATGTTTTATATCCAAATACTGCAAGTCCTTGCACATTTGCTTAATTTGAAAAATCTAGTGTTCCTGGTATGAATTTAGAGAGCAACTGTTTATTCTCATTGCACTTTTAGATATCTCTGTTTACATTTTTTATTTTAAAGTTTATTGATTTGCTGTAGATTTGTGCCTTTTTCTATGTATTTCATATTTTAATTTAGGAAATCTATCTTGCGTGCCTCAGTGAATTTGATTATGTATATCCAGATTTGTCATTTTAAGAGGACATTTTATTTAGTTGATGTTTATCAAAACAATATAATATGCAATAAACTATGATTTTATACAGCCATTTATGGAATAATTATTGTATTGTGCTTAGTTGGCTAGTTAGCTGGTTAGGTAGTTAGTAGTGGTGTTAAGTAACTAAATACATTTAGACAAGTAGCCTACTGCACATAAGACCATTTTAAAAGGGACTTGTACTTAACTTGAGCATTTCCTATTTTTGCTACTTTTTACTTCTACCCCAATTTAATACATTAAATAACTTTGCAGATTTGAATGGATTAATAATGTGAAATGTAATAAGATTAAATAAGACTTTAGTTACACCTGAAGCAGCATTCACAAGCTACACTGCAGCATACAAAGTCATTCAATTATAAAGAAAATAATATATTATTCTGAAATGGGCCGATCTGCATAATAAGTAGGCTACACATGCATAGGAATTAGATTTAATCAATGCAATGTGTTAATCCACAAAGACAACACAACTGAGCTGTTTGGAACTACGTTAAGATGACAGTGTAGTTACACATTAAAAATAAAGTTGTTTCAGTCTTTCAGGCAGGAAACTGCAAAAGGTAGTTATGTAGGTAGGCTAGGGTGTTTGGGCTAGCTAAATGCTAAACAGTAACCGGTGGATTAATTAAGGAGAAACTGGAACTGATTGGATGAGCCCATTACAGGAGGCGGTGTCGTCTGATCATGAGCACACCCTCCCTCATTACTTGTAGAAGGTGATGAGGGTAGGTGGAGGTTTACTCGACTGAGTTAGCTAACTGCTGATTCGAACGTTAGAAAATGTCACCATAGCTAGCAAGAAGACGGCCGGTTGAAACTGTGCTGTTCAGTTGAAACCAGCGAGCTGAATGTATCGTTAATTAATACGAACTTATCCACCATGTCGGAAAAGACTCCTCTTCTACATTACCGACTTACCAGCGGAAGCACCAGCCCGGAGCCGAAAGATGTCCCCAACCATAGCAAGGCCAAGGCGGGCAAAGGCCGTCGACGGACCAAGGAGAAGGGCGACCGGAAGCTCGGAGTGGTGTTTGGCGTGGTCGTACCAACGCTACTGTCCATGTTTAGCGTCGTTGTATTTCTGCGAATTGGTGAGTAAAAGAGTGCAGTAATACATTTTAAACGTTGGTTTGATTCTTAATTTCCCAAAAATTCCTTGTTAGACTGAACAAATGTATAAATGAACGAATAATTTGAAAAAAGTTCCTCCCGGTTAAATTGGCTTGTGGTGTGGTGTGGTGTGTTCTCTTTTAATAGTCAGGTGGTGGAGGTTTACAAGGAAATTGTATATCTATTTTAGTAGTGGCTGCAAGCCTCGAAAATGACTACCATAACTACAAATTTAAGTCCAGATAAAATGCAAATAATATCACTTAAATATGTGTCATCATTGTATTATTATCCATTATTTTCTTAGCTACATATTCATGTATCCGTTGTCTTTTATCAATGATCAATTTAATGTTTAGCTAAAATGTGAAACATACTAATCAAAGTTTCCCAGCACCCATGGTAACAACTTCAGCTTGCTTGTTTGGTCCAATGAACTGTCCAAATTCCCAAGAACCTTAGGTAATTTACTCTTAATTCCATCACTAGACACAGGTGGAATAATGTAATATGATTAAATTACTTTAAACAAATTCAATCTGTAAAATGATCTTGCATGTAACTTTGCAAACAGAGTAACGCTTCAGGCCTAAGTTGAACATTGGTCTACATTACTAATCCGATTTCCTCCTACCTCTTGTAGGATTTGTTGTGGGTCAAGCAGGGCTCTATCAGTCCATTGTGATGTTCCTAGTGGCCTACCTAATTATCACAATGACAGTGCTTTCCGTCTGTGCCATCTCCACGAATGGGGCTTTAGATGCTGGAGGAGCCTACTGTATCCTTTGCTGCTCAGAGAGACTTGTGCTGCAGCTTAAAAGCCTCACTTGGGTGTCTGCTGTTGATTAAGCCTGTCTAATGGATTAAGGAAAAAAAAGTTCCTGCTTTTAATTTCTTCCCAGGTTTTGATTTATCCACAACTGTATGGTACAGGCTTGCGTTTGTTCTAAATCTGTCAGGTGGTTGATCTGTAACCATGTCTATCAACCTAACATATTGTGTCAAATCATAGTTTTTTCCACAAAGAATCCCTTAACTTGGATCCCCAGATATGATCAGCCGAGCCCTTGGTCCAGAGTTTGGTGGCAGCATTGGGATCATGTTTTTCTTTGCCAATGTGTGCGGCAGTGCTCTCTATGTTTTGGGTCTGGTTGAGGCTATCATGTCTACCTTTGGCATCCCAGAAGGTAAAGTATGTTAGGACATGGTGCGACATCTTGGCATGAGTGTGTTGATATACCAATAAACCCTGTTTTGCCGTCCCTCAGAGGGTACTGCAGTTGTCGCAAGTCTCCAGGTGTTGCCCTCAGGATACTGGTGGTCTCTGCTGTACGGCACTGCCTTGCTTTTCATTTGTTTCATTGTCTGCTTGGTGAGACTTCATTATTATTATTTTTACTGCACATGCTTATACAAAACTTTTTTTTAAATGCTTTGTTGTTGGTAATTTTCGCAATATGTTTTGATGATTAATTCAACACTTACAAACGTTTATCTTAAAAAATATTTAGCGGAGTTTTGAAAACTGTTAAGTTTGTCCATAGGCCACAAGTAATGACAATTTTTAAATGTAATTGTCATCAAGGCAAGATTGATCGATAACTCTTAAATCCAACTGGCCTGTCCTTACAGGTGGGAGCCCACATCTATGCCAAAGCCACCTTTGTTATCGTCATCATATTCGTCGTAGTCTTGACTACTATCTTCATCAATTTTATCATTGTGGGGCCCATTGTGGTGATGTTGCCAGGGAATTCTGGGCTGAACGGTACCAGCACGAGAACCGCAAATTATACTGGCTTCCGGCGCCACACCTTTGAGGGCAATCTATTGCGTAAGTGTTGTTTCATATTGTCAGATGTATTAACTTAGAATTGTTTATGCTTTCATCATCTTAAACTTATTTAAACAATATTGGACCTGAAGAAAACACAGCCTTTTGATTACGTTAGCTTTAATATGTTAATCGAGGACTTTGATTTATTTAAGCAGAAGAAGCAAACAATGTATGTAGCATGCCAGAAATCCCTGTTAGTTTTTCTAAGTGAGCCTTTACTTTTATAACTAATCCGGCCTCCTGTCACTCCTTCTAGCCAATTACACAGTAGACTACACCACTGGTGCCATGATGAGCTTTGCCAAAGTGTTTGCAGTCATGTTCAATGGCTGCACTGGGATCATGGCAGGATCCAACATGTCAGGTAAGATGGCTTTCAAACAACCTCAATAAATACATTCTTTGAGGGAAAAGGATTTAGTAAAGTACATTTCACATCAATAGTAAATGTAAACCAAATTGTTATGCAACCTCTTGGAGAAAATCCTTTAGGGTTTAGTTAAGGCAGGTCTAGAAATGTGGGAAATTGGTGGATCCAACCCCCAATCGAAGACACAGTACTTGACATGTATATAGCCGATAATAGCTTTAATAGATTACAGTCTGTTTTGAATAATCAACTTTTGTTATCTGATTTCCAGGTGACCTGAAAAACCCAAGCTATGCCATCCCAAGAGGAGCGCTTGCTGCTGTTCTTACAACTTTCATTACATACAATGTGCTGAGTCTGCTGGTTGCGGGGTCCTGTGAACGGTAAAACACACTCACACAGTCAAACACATTAAGCAGTGCTCCGTTGAATGCTATTGATTTATATAAAAAAATAAAATAAAAATCAGAACCCTGTTGTCACTTAAATATTTTTAAAGATGGTGTATGTCGGTTAATGTCAATGCTTAAAAATTATCTGGCTATATTAACACATTAAGTTTGATAATGTGGTTTTATTTTTAACATCTTTCTATTGTCCTTAGTAACCTTCTCCAAAAAGACTACAATTTCCTGGGAGACATCAATATATGGCCACCACTGGTGACAATTGGGATTTACTCCTCCGCCATTTCTGCTGCCATGAGTAACCTGATAGGGGCCTCCAGGATCCTGTATGCCCTCTCCAAAGACAACCTGTTTGGTGAGATTATTGCTGCGTTTGTCTGCTGCCGAGTTATTTGCAGATTGGGGATTCAGCTAATTTGGCCTCGACTTTTTCTGTAGTGAGAAGATTTAAACTGCTTCTCCTGCTTGTTTTGGTTAAGATCAGGGCTAAATAGTTGATTCATAGCATACAAAAGCATATCAAACTCCAGCTGGTCTTTTATAAAGCTGAGTCAGCGTTTTAATAATCAGCCATCTGTTGAAAGAGGCCTCCCATGTAAAATGTGAGAACTTGACACTTGTTATTAATTTCATCATGTCTTGTTTCTCAAGTGGAGGCATGTTCATTTGGAAAGCATCGTTTGACAACAGATGGCTTGCAGTCTTGCCTTTTCTCAGAAGAAGCAGAAAAAAAATCCTCATTGTGTGTTTGGGCGTAAGGGCGAGTGCAGTATGACTCAGTTGTTTATCTGATTCAGGAGCAATAGCAGTGACTATTTCTTATGATAATGTTTTACATTTCTACAGGTGGTTTCCTGGCTCTGGTTAGGAAAACCTCTCTGAGTGGGAACCCCTGGGCCTCTGTGCTTGTGTCCTGGCTGCTTGTACAGGTAAGCTAGGAATGTGTGAGGAGTGGGGACAGTTTTCCTCTGTGTATAACATTGAGAGTGACTCTCCTTGAGCTCTACTAAAGCTGACATTGCTATACTCTATCCCCCTTCCTGTTCCACCTTAATTCTTTGCATGTTAGTTTAGTGACTTCGTTCACATATTTGCCTTGTAAAATTACTTTTTAGCAACTCTCCAAACTGAGTTTTTTTTTACAAATACACACACAGCCATCCACGAACCATTATTAATAACTAGAGAAGAACAATAAAGGGCAGTCAAATATTATTAAAGCTATATAAATATACAGGTGTTGATTTCAGTAACGTTTAGAAAATGCAGTGATGCCCTGTGTGGAGTTAAAAAGAACAGTAAA